TACACCACAATACGGTCTTCATCAACATACCGCATGGTAAGCCATGGACGATGGCATATGAAAATGTGAAACAATTCTAAACTCTTTGATTAATGCTAAAACATTGAACGAAAACATCGTACAGCAACAGAAAACATTGAATTTCAGGCTCCTGATTTGTTTGTTAAAGTGTTAACGGAAGAAATCAGCATGAAATTGATTAAAATCAAATTCTGTCCATAATACTGTTGATATCAATATGTAAACAATGTAATCCGTGAACAAGTCTCAAACAGAATTACGACTTCCTTTCCACCTTAAACCTTATGAAAGCCCTAGAAGTTATTATTTTCAATTGTTTACACAATAAGATTTTAATTCTTGCATTTATAGAAAATATCATCAGCTCACCCTTCCAGAACGCCCCCAGTTTTTGGTGGGGTTCGTGTTGCTCAGTCTAAAGCGTCTATGCTGTGGTTTTGTTTGTCTTGTTGTCTTTTTTAGACAAGGGGATGTTATAAAAGTAAGAAGATGTGGTATGTTTGCCAATGACACCTCTCTCCACCAGAAACGAAAATGACATAGAAGTTAACAACTATAGGTCACCGTACGGCCTTCAACAAGGAACAAAAGCCATACCGCATAGAGAAAACTATACAATTTCTTTGTATTATGACAGTGATGAACAAAAATAAACTCTATTGATGTTTAAGATATTGTTTCACATGATTTTGGCAAGTAGTAACATTATGTTCCTTAAGAAAAGATTACGCAATATATTTAGATAAGGTCTTACCCGTTTACCCGATGGTATTTGCTATCAGGTTTAACTTTATGTTTGTAATATTATTTTGTGACTTGTGTTTTGGTTTTCTTTTGTTTTATAATCGATAACGAATTAATGAAAGCCAACCGAAAGCCTCTGTCGCCCAAACTATTAACGTTTTCGTTTAAATCACTTATCTTTATTTATTGATTACTTTCAAAAAGTAAACATTCAAAACTACTGATTTCATGAACTCCACATCTGAAATTGATGGCGTTTCTGTCTATTGCTTAATCTACCACTTTCTTACAGGAATTTCTCAACATATCGAGAATTATTGTATTTAGTCCAATATTGATGCTAAATCTTTTTATCTTTTAAACAGACCAATTGAATGAAACCTGTGACCAAGCACTTGAAAATCAATCTTGCAGTTCTGACAACATGTAAATCTAGACTACCAAAGCAGCTGTCTCGTCAAAGTAAAAAATTGTCATGCTAATTATTCAACTGGTTTAAATAATCACCACTAAGGCAATAATTTAAATTACAAAGGACACAGCTTTTGACAGGAGATAAACAGCATAAAGGAAAACCTTGTGTGATAATGAACAGTTTCGAAAAACAATTTAAAGCAACTGATCTTAATAATCAATCATAACAAAAACGCATGCAGAAATGATAACACGCTTATGTCTTACAAGTCGCTTTTCCAGATGTGCTACATAGTTATTGTGATACATGTATTGTTCAAAACATACATGACATAGACGTTAATTGAAATGTCCATTATTGTTACATGACTCTCCCCGCATTGCTGAAACCGGCTTGTCTGCAATAGAAATCTCTTTCACAATTAATGCCATAAACGAGGGGCTTGACATGTGGTATTTCTATATTGTATTTTATTTTTATATCTTTCTGTACTTGCCGCTTAATATCTTATTCGTCGTATGACTTAAGGAGATGTGTTTACGTCAATGAGACAGCAACTCAGCGACAATTACAATAAATGTATAACTAAATACTCAAGACGACTTTATAAAGTCGTTAACAACAGACATAGCGTGTAAAACAGTTGTGAATAAACTGAACAAGGATTACCAAAGATCTGCCAACATTTAAGTGTCTTCTCATAAAACTGCTCCCCCAAAATTAATAGAATAGACTATATGATGATATTTTATTTTCTTCAATACGCTTGATTTCAATCTTTGTCTTTCCGTCAAAGTATTTGGTTGAGGACGACTTTATATACGCCATTGTTGCGTTTATTGGCATACAATCTACGTCAGAAGGATATGAATTTTCAGATCGCGGCTGAGATAAATGTGATAAATAATGACTTTATATTTCAACAGACAGTCGGTATTCCAATGGGAACTAATTGTGCACCCCTACTGGCCGAATGCATTCAGAACCTTTTAAAAGACAAAAAGAAAAAGCACCTTGCGAAATTGTTTAATTTTACTTTCCGATATATTGATGATGTTCTATCATTGAATAACCCATATTTCAGCCAATACTTACATCTCATACATCCCAGTGAACTTGAAATTAAGGATACTACTGATACTAGAAGGACTGCTTCATACCTTGATCTTTTCCTCAATATTGACACAGATGGACGACTTCACACGAAAATCTATGATAAACGGGACGATTTCAACTTCCCAATTATCAATTTCCCATTTCTCAGCAGTAACATACCCTCTGCCCCTTCGTATGGTGTTTACATATCTCAATTGATACGTTATTCTCGTGCTTGTCACTCTATACGGACTTCATATACAGGAGTGTGCTCCTTACGCAGAAACTGCTCCAACAAAGTTATGAGGAGGACAGATTAAAAATGACACTCCGTAAATTTTACGGACACCATCACCAATTGGTTGATCCATACGATGTGTCTTTGTCCAAACTAACTAAGGACATTTTTACCACGTGTTAGATTGTGGTGTGTCATTACGTCGTCTGATCTTTTAATTACCGAACGTGACTTATTCCCGATTGTGACTGTTTTGCTGAGTGTGAAACCGCATTGTTATAAGACGTGTGACGGTACCTTTCTATCCCAAATTCATGTATTTAATTTTGATGTTATATTTGTTGTTCTCGTCGGATTTTGTCAAATGTCTTAACGTCTTTTCTGTTATATTCGTGTGTTATGGTAAAGACAATTAATCACCCCCTTCATTTATTAGATTTTAGTTTGGTTCAACGAAATTTATACGATATATTTGGTTTACAGTTTGATTCAGAAGAAACACCGACATAGCTAGATAATACAATTAATTATCTAATTACTACCATTTGATATTAATAAGTATTGTAATTTTCATTGTTATTAATAAATGTAATTTCAGTATTACAAATCTAATCTTTAATCAATCCTAATCCTATCTTATTTTTGGGAAATATTTTTACAAATTCAAATGTGACGTCACTTTGTGTGTTTTTTTAGAATTTCAAATGTGACGTCGCTTTGTGCGTTGAGGCTTTGGCTAACTCGCCTGTGTATTTTTTTATGTGTTGGATTAAGTTGTTTTATGTAATGTATCCATTTTTATTCTGTAGTTAGTCCCCACTTTGGTTTTATCATGTATATCTATTATATAGTCATTTTATAAAATTTACTGTTTGCAAAATTATAAATTATTCTGAATAATAAGGAAGTTCTTGTCTCAGGCAGAAAACCCTGGCCGTGTTAGGCGCAACTTTTTGGAAGTTTTGGTCCTCGGTGCTCTTCAGCTTTGTACTTGTTTTGGCTTTCAAACTTTTTTCATCTGAGCGTCACTGGTTGGTCTTGTGTGGACGAAACGCACGTCTGGCGTATTGAATTTTAAGCCTAGTACCTTTTGTTAGCTATTATTCGTGTGTTTCTTTGTCCTTTATGTTCTCCCATTTATTTGTATTGTGGTCCTGTCATGTGATGTTGTCGTTTTGGTGTTGTGTTTGACGTTGCCATAAAAGCGGGAGGTTTGGCATGCCACAAAACCAGGTTCAACCCACCATTTTTTTCTTAAAATGTCCTGTACCAAGTCAGGAAAATGGCCATTGTTATATTATAATTCGTTTCTGTGTGTGTTACATTTTAATGTTGTGTTTTTGTTGTGTCGTTGTTCTCCTCTTATATTTGATGCGTTTCCCTCAGTTTTAGTTTGTAACCCGGATTTGTTTTTATCTCTATCGATTTATGAGTTTTCGAACAGCGGTATACTACTGTTGCCTTTATTTGATGATTTCTGTAGTTAGGTGTACAAAATCTACATAACAAATTAGGACAAATGCTGAAAAAATGTCAAGTCGGCACTTTGACCTTGTCAGTTCAAGGATGCAGTGAAAACACTTTGTTAAAAATGAGAAACACACAAGTATAGTTAGCTTTTAAAGGCCCCGGCATGAAAAATGTGAAACAATTCAAACGAGATAACTAATGGCCTAATTTAAAACAATAAAATTTACGAAAAACTGATATGACAGACATAAAACAACTACACTCACTGAACTACATGTACAGGCTCTTGACTTGGGACAGGCATACAAAGAATGTAACGAGGTTTAACATGGTTGGGAGCGCTCAAAACCTGTGACAGTGAAGACACAGCAGAACATAAAACAAATTGTATAAAAATCATTTGCAACTCAATAGATCGGTACGAAGCACCAAAAATATAAGATAAAAGAGCATTTACAACTGAAAGCTAGTTCGAAGCAAATAGCAACTAATAATTAAACCATGTTCTCAAAACGAAGGTTTCAATCAGTACACATCCAACGGATTTAATGTACAAACGTCAAAAACTGTCTTAAGAATGCATGACCTCGTCCTATGACAACAAATGTAAACGGTATCGACTGAATGTAGGATCGTGAGTTCTTATTACTGTATATATATATATAGCAATATATATTTAGTTATGTTTTAAGTTTTCAAAAACAAAATCAATGTACATGTAAGTTCCGATAAAAACAATATTTGAAGATTTTACTAATGTCTGAAATTGATTCCTTAGTTTGTAGCAACGACATGACAGCTTTATCTTATTCTAAAAGAGTATCTACGTCTTTTGTTTTGTGTTTAGTTCATTGCCTGACTCGACTGAATTCATCAGTAATGTTGCGTTTACAATTGATGGATTTTCGCTAATGACATTTCGGGCCTTTGGATAAATTTGTCAAATTTGTTTTGTCTCTTTTTTGTATTTAAGATCATTTAAGCAAAACAAAACAAAAATAAAATCAGACTACATATGTTTAAGAAGAAGTAGTTTATAACAAGTTATATTTTCTAAAACATGTAAAAGTTTCTTTTAGATTCATAATATTTTATTACAATAAATCAAGTAATTGCAATGGTAACACGGTATTTCAACTAATATGTGGTATTTTTAATTAAATGCACAATAAATATATCTGTGGCCCAAAATACACATCCTTCAGAGCATGAACAATATAAAAGGGAAAGAAAACAGTGTAAATAGTAACGACTAAATTCCGACTTTGAATTAAATTGTATATGACTATTCAATGGAAGAAATAAATTTCTAAACAAACATTTACTTGTATGAATGAAATTACTTTCATAATTTCCAAACAATAACGTTTCAATATCTGGATGTAATATTGTCGGCATTGTATAAGATAGTACGTAGAGTATTCATGACAATTAGATAAACACGGAAACATTTATGATCGTTCACTACACGAATTTGATTTGGAAATGAAACATATATTGACTATGATCCTAGCTTTGGACATACAATACTGAAATCTGAACCATTCCGCTTTTGTATGGTTTAGCCGAATATCAATAGATACACAAAAAGTATAGTATTGGTTACATGTTACATTTAGGGTTGCAGGTTTCAATGTTTATACTAGCACACAATACCGTCTTGTATAGAAAGTAATAACATGATAATATGTAAGTAAGCAAATATTTAGGACCACTGATACGACATTGTTGTTCGGTTAAGGTAATATTGATTATTAGACAATTCTTCTTATTTTAATAAACATCTATTCAAAGTGTAAGCCGACCAAATGTTATATAATTAAATGTATGACACCACATGAACATATGCAGTCGTTAACTTGATAAAACGCAATAGATACACATATTTCGTATTCTATTTCATGGAACGAGGATTCCAGCATCAGTTTATACACATCTACTAACTCCTTCATTGATGGATTTTCCATTTTCTTCCTTGAATAGGTAAAATGTGGCAGATATTTATTGGTTACCGAAGTGAAGTAGTATAACACAATGTCAAAAAGAAGTGGTCTGTTTGGTTGCACTATTTTCAAACGCAAGATCTACAAAATAATTCAATGTACATGTGTAAGTACACAACCATAACAGGACTCATGTATTATTCAGTATCAGTCCCTAAAACAATTTGCAATTTAAAAAAATATTGGAATCAAAAAGGCCTACAAATATTGAGTTTCGTTATTTGACTAGTCGTTGGTACATATCGTGTAATGACTAATTGTTGTTCTCGTACTGTCTGCTTGTTGAAAAACATAGAATCATAATAAGATTGCAAATAAATTAACTTCACATTATTAGTTATATGGTTTGATACTGACGGAATCTTAGAGAGTTAGTTTTTACTTATCTTCTATGGATTCGAAAGGGGTCAGTAGCGAACCGTATAACGGCTTCAATGAATATTGCACACGGGATTTTGCCTGTAGTTTTGTATGAAGATAAACAATGAAATACAATAACAATTATAGTAGCCATGACGTCATGATACCCCGATGAAATCTTCTGATCCCCTACGGATCCATAGGGGGTTTCCACGTAACGGCGATTAACCAATCACATCCATTAATTTTTCCCGATGTGCGATGAGATGAACGTATTTACCTTTGCATCAAAGTGCATTCCATATTATTTGATGAACACGGGTTAAAATAGATATTTCAGGTAGCTTTTGATATAACATGTATAGGTACCTGCACATTCTGAACAAAATAATAATAATTAACTATGATCAGGATATCCATCCCTTAATAACCTTTTATATGGATTTTAGACGGAGTCGTACATGTACATTAATAAAAGTAATACATGGAAATTAGGGACCTTAATGGTCAATCCAAATGTAGCTAATACAATAGGAAATATTAAAGAACGCATGTTTTCGTTTTCCTTCTCACAAAACACAAAACACATTTTATAGTAGTTGAATTGAGCCCTATGGTTTTCCAATATCTAGTATAGCTACATTTAACTAGGTTGACCGTTATTGCATACATGTATGTGAAATTGATGACAGTCTCGCTTGTCGGAAGCCATCCTATTTTTTTTTTAATTTATGAAAATAGTGAATAAGTGTTAAAGATAAAATCGAATCAAATAAGATACATTAACCATAATCTTACAAAAAAGGTATAACAAAAAAACAAACTCAAAGCCAAACTCTACAAGGGGAAGTCCATAAAAACGGACAAAACCAAACGCTATCAATCAACGGAATAAATGAAAAACAACAGCCATATTTCTGACTGAAGTTGAATCTATTTTGTTAACAAATAACCAAATTAACAGGCTAATCAAGTATAATGTAATGTTAACTTTTAAACCATTAAAAACACATAGATGATCCAATGAATCGTATTTTGATTGCCAAAATAGCAAAAGTAGACTTTTAATCAGAACAAAAGTAAAACATATGGAACATATTAAATATGTCTGGTTCAGTAGTTCTTGACGTTCGGAGTGCTTTTTTTAAACCATCATCAGGACGCTCAAACTTAAATATTTGAAACCCATGGCTGTATTAATATGTTAAAAACAATAGGGTCTATATACTCAAAACGAACCAAAAAAAAAAACATAACCAAACTTATCTTAGGTCAACCTTGCCTGAGGATCTTTAAACCTTAGTTTCTACATAATTTCATATGTAAGCATGCATGCTTACCCTGTAGACGCAATCGGTCTAGTTCATTTTGGAGTTCATGGGATTCCCTAATTTTTTTTTTGTTACTTTGATTTTTCTCTTCCTAATTCATTTGGGCGAGTTGTAAGCATGATATAAGCATGGGAAAACTACTGTTGACTTAATTCATCAACGGAAATTAACAAAAAGTATGTTATAAATGATGTCAGTACCGAAGCACTGATATCTGAGCTGATGATACCCTCGAGGACTAATAGTCCACAAGCAGTGGTACTGACCCAGTGCTAATAAATACATTTCGTGCGTCTGAAGGTTTTTTTTATTTACCTTCATCTAAAACGCCCGAACCTAACCATTTAAAAACTTAGTAACGATAGGAGCTATGTGACCAAAAGTTACCTAAAATGCATAGTCAAAGAAATATTTTTTTCAATTAGTAATTAAACGTAAAATATTTTTTAGTTTGTCAGTGTTACAATTACTTAGTGCAATAGAGATGATAAATCATATTTCTTTATTTTGTATCGAAAACATTTAGCACTACACAATAAAAATATGAAATTTGATTTAACACCACCATTTATAAGTAAAATTGAAAAGGTGCAAATTGTTTTAAACACTAATGAATTGGCAGTTTGCCTATTTTGCCGTTTGCACTGTACCTACTGTATCAAATACAGAAACTGAACTTACAGTTGAATATCATTTCATCATATTTCAAAATTAAAAAAATAAACACCGATATAATAAACATGCTGTGACCACATACTCACTGGTAAAAAGTTTATGTCACGACAATAATTTAAACAATTACAGTTCAACATATTTGACTGACTTACTTGTTGTTCCGTTTACTCCATTTCTGAGTTTCTTGAAACCTTTTTTCTTTTTTTTCTTTTGGTGTTTTCCATTATCTGATATACAAAAGCATTATCATGACGGAGTTCACTAAACATAATGATAAAAATTATAAAAAGCACTTTTAATTAATAAAAATAAAAAACGAATGTCCAAGATGGGTTCGAGACAAAATGTAATAAATATAATCTTAATACCATGTTATTGATATGTTTCTTTTGTAAACGATCTTTTAATTCGATTATTTAAAGCATGCTGAATTAATAATTGTCAAGCTACAGTATTTATTTTCTGAAATCGACTTGATAAAGAATCAATATGATTGACAAAAAATTGGTATTTTTGGTAGGTTCGATTTGTTAGTGGAAAGCAGCCAGAATTCAAAACTTTATTTTATCCTTTATAGAAGAGTCTCCTCACAGAATTAATAAGCATATGCATAGGGAGTATATATTTTCAAGTATACTCGATATTTTAAAGTTTGGGTTTTCCTTGACTGATTGATTGATTGCTTGTTTCGTAATAGCTTAAAGACGCATCAACACTAAAAGGCTATATCGCGGCGAGATATTCCTTCGACAGGCGGTTGCTGTCTACAAGGAAGCTGCTGAACCAATGATTCGTGATGGTAAAGTTGAAGTCGTCTCTTTGTTATTTTTACGGCGTCATTGTGGTTGGGGTTATCGTTTTTAAATAGTTCTTCCATAGATATGCTCATATTGTCATTACTACTATCTTTTCGGGTCGACATAATTGAAAGTAACTTTAAAGTGGATTTTTCTGACCAAGATTAACACGACGGGTGGCACAGGTGGAGTAGGAACTGTTTATCCTTATGGTGAATGCAAGTTCTCTCTCGAGTTTTGTTGGTGTTTGTGTTGCGTTATCGCTAGTTTTCTGTGAAGTGTTAATCTGGTTTTTTTTCTTTTTCTCTCTTCGACTGAAGGTTTTTTAATTCATATTTTGTATCTTGTTTCATGTTTCAAATTTCTAATAACATGTTTTAAGTACGCTCAAATCGTTGATTCATTGTCATAGATTTGTTCTACTTCTCAAAAGTTTAACAAGAATGTTCCCTCAATAAGTTTTTTTAATATAATATTTTTTATGTTGTGTGACAAAAGCCACCATGTTTAGTCGATTTGCGGGCACCAACTATGTTTTTTGCCAAACGTTTTAACTGATTGATTATTTAAGGATTTTTGTTGTTGAAATTGTTCTATTAAGTTTCTATCGTATTAACGATTGCAGGTATGTTTAATTGAATTTGAATTTGAAAATGGCTCTGCTTGAATCTGTTAGTAATAAGGAATAAATATTGTAAATGTATAACACTTATAATCTTTGGTAGCAGTTTGATCTCAACATCTGTAATTTATCATGACGATTTTAGCCAAGAACAATATTTTCTGGGTGGGACAACATATATGTAATTTCTTGAATTATGACAGCATTCTTATTTTCTTTACTAATTGAATTTGAAGTCAGAATTTCTGTTTTTATTTCTATGTTAGGCATGTCTAAATTGCAAACAAAAGTTTTAAGCTAGGTATAAACGTACCTCATGATTGTTTACCGTACGAATTATTTGTACCGTCTAGGAGCTAACGAATACAATGCAGAAATATAGATAAAATGAAAAAGAACTAAATTAACTTACTTTTTATGCACATTTTGATTTCATTTGCCTTCATAAGGCATTCACCACACAGAATATGTCCAAGTTGAATTCCTCGATTTAGTTCTTCTAAATGTTTGATTTGTTGATTGTTATTTGATTTCTACAATTATATTCAATGTAATAGCATTTTGGTAGATGGATGTTCAATAACTGATTTTATATCAATCAATTACTATAGTAATATCAAAATATTCAAAATGTACAGAAATCCTGCATGCTACCAATATAATGCAGCACCCCAACGCCATATTGCTGATTACAACACTGAGTGTTTTAAAGGCATTATATACAACGTAATGCACAATTCAAACAGTCGACTAGAACAAGAAGATATCAAAGTGAAATGTATGTACCATAAATCTTTTGGGAATCAAAATACATAAAGAATTATGAGCATCAATATTCGGAGGAACGAAACAAAACATGCCAATCAGTGTCAGCCTAGTTGTCGTCCAGGGAGTTGTTATCCAAGTACAGTCAGCTTCAAATTGTTCACACTTCTCAATCACAAGGTCTAATTCCAACCCAAAACCGATATTTTAATACAAATTTTAAACTTGTTTAGTCTAAACTAATCTTTTTCATTCTAATAATGTGTCCATATTTTTTTTACAAATGATATCTCCGTATAATTTATCAAGATGTACAAAAAATGTATCAAGGCTTAAACAAAGATAATGGTATCAACGTATAATTCTTTATAGACACTTGTACAGTGTTGTATGTTGCTTCAGCAATTTTTTTATAATCGAGATGCAGTAAGCATTCTATGTAATAATTGATAACTGAAATGCTTACAAATATTCTCTAATTTGGATTGCAAATAAATGATTAAAGCCATTATATTGATTGGTGTTTTGCTTGATGATATTTATGTTTGTTCTAAATGTTTGATTTGTTGATTGTTATTTGATTTCTAAAATTATATTCAATATGTAATAGCGTTTTGGTAGATGGACGTTTATAACTGATTTTATCAGTCAATTACTATAGTAATATCGTCATCGATTACAGTGTATCTTGTTTAACATGTTTGTTAATTTATGTATCCTTGTCATTTTGCTTAGTTTATTTTGTTACCTATTCTGACATCGGACTCGGACTTCTTTTAAACTGAGTTTTACTGTGCGTATTGCTATGTGTTTCTTTTTTCTACATTGGCTAGAGGTATAGGGGGAGGGTTGAGATCTCACAAAACATGTTTAACTCCGCCGCATTTTTGCGCCTGTCCCAAGTCAGGAACCTCTGGCCTTTGTTAGTCTTGTATGTTTTTTAAATTTTAGTTCCTTTATATGTTTTGGAGTTTAGTGTGACGTCCATTTTCAGTACAAAATTTTATTTAGGGCCAGCTGAGGACCACCTCCGGGTGCGGGATTTTCTCGCTGCGTTGAAGACCCATTGGTGGCCTTCGGCTGTTATCTGCTCTTTGGTCGGGTTGTTGTCTCTTTGACATATTCCCCATTTCCATTCTCAATTTTAGTGTGATAACTTCCCATTCTGAAACGTGTCAATGTCATATCAAATAATTTAATTAAATTGCAATTGCAATAACAGTTTCTCTTTGACTTATAAGTCTTATATGTCCCATTAGTTTATCCCGCCTCATTTTCACAGGAACGTGTCCAAATGTAAAAATGAATTTAAACATTAAATGACATTGCCTAATTTATTATGCTGTTTGTTTGCTGTCTTTTGACGAAAACTTTACACATTCTTGAATATGTTTTAACAACAATTTTTGAAAATAAATTACCCGTAAATGTGTTAAGGGGTTTTCATTGTTGTATTTTGTGTTATTTTACAATGTCTGTATTCTCTCTTTAGGTAAAAATTTTGTACGACCTTCGTCCTCGAAAACCTTGTTTTTATTACAAACTTTTACAAGCATTCGTATTAGAAAATTTACCTGTATCGATGGTAATAGTGTTTGGTGATGTCTTAAGGTTAGTCAAGAGACTTTTGCCAATCCACCTGATCAATGAGGTGTTCTTTCTATGTGACGTCATCAGGCGTGGTCGCCTTTTTACATGTTGTCACAATAGCAAATTCAGAGGAAAGCAAGAAAATTTGACGACATACTCGAATTTCGACAAATGAAGAACTGAGAGCAAACGAACCACACGTTGATTAAATAGAAATAATCAACAGGTCCGGAAAAGGATAAATTAGGTAAGAATTAGAAAAGGTGGTTTGATATTCCACAAAAAGATTCTTTGTGACCCTAACTATCCACATTAAAACACTAAAATCTAAGATTTGACAGATTATGTTTATGCCTTCAAACATTTTCCAGACTTCAAGTTTGTATATATATTAATTAATTTGATATATTTGTTGTTCTGCTGCCCATTTTTCAGTTGAATATGTTTTGTTTGTCATTTTCTTCGGTTATGCAGCCCATGTTTTAGATGCTGCAAATGTTTCAAATCTATTATCCCCTTCTTATCATTGACATGGAGCATACCTAAAGCTGAAACTCATGTGTATTCATCTTTTTTTTCAATGATCAATTAATTAATGGTTTTCAAGTCAGGTCTGTTGACCAAAAAAAAGAAACTTGGAACTACAAAATACTTTCAAAGGTATGCTATGTTTCGTTACAGCAGGCTAACTGTTAAGCCCTTATTAGTTGTTTGCAGATATTTTTTTCACGCAGGTAAACGCCTATTTTAATATACGTCATCAGTGACTTTCGAAATACTTGTGTGTGTTGAGATTGAGAATTGGGTGATCTTGCAAATAGTAGCTGAAATATTGTAAATGCATGAGACCATCATAACTAAATTTAAAATAAAACCTTTACAGTATCATAAGCAAACGATATCGGGTACAGTCCGCTAAATGTTATACATAAAAGAAGGACGAAAGATACCAGAGGGACATTCAAACTCATAGATCGAAAACAAACTGACAACGCCATGGCCAAAATAAAAAGACAAACAGACAAATAATAGTACAGATGACACAACATAGAAAACTTAAGTCTAAGCAACACGAACCCCACCAAAAACTAGGGGTGATCTCAGGTGCTCTGGAAGGGTAAGCAGATCCTGCTCCATATGTGGCACCCGTTGTGTTGCTTATGTTGTTACAAATCTGGTAAATAGTCTAATTCGGTAGGTCACATTCGTGAAAAGGGAAGGGTATTGTAGTTACGACATAAGGAACATATCCGATATCATCTGTGAAACGGTTATTCCATAACGGTCAACCAACAATTTACGAAGGGGTGATTTCAACTTCACCATTTGGAACTCTTGGCTTCTTTGTGAGCAGCAATCCTCTATCAAGGAAATCATGATAGGAAATACAAGCCCGGGAATATCGTATCAATTGGGAGATATATACTCCCTATGCAGGCGCTGCTGGAATGTTGCTACATAGAAATGGAAAGTTCTCAATTGGGAAGCTGAAATCATCTCTTTTGTCGTAAAGTTTTGTTTTCAACCGACCCTCATTGTCAATTTCTAGATGTAAGTCAAGATATGAGGCAGACTTAACTGTATCTATAGTATCCTTTATCTCTAGTTCGATGGGATAGATTCGTTCAACATAGTCACCACATTTTGTATTATTTAGTGAGAGAACATCATCTATATAGCGGAACGTAAAGTTAAAGGATATTGCTAACTTCTTATCTTTCTTCCTAAGAAGTTCCTATAAATGATATAGAATTGCATCAAGTGTAAAAAAAAAAAACAATGTAAATTCCATGAAAAGTTGGTAGGGTATTCTAAATTTATTTATCAAGTGAAGAAGATTATTTGAATTTTTAGATATAATTGTAGTTATTCAACACTAAAAACCTTAGATGATATTTCATGTTTAAAAATACTTTACTTATTTATGCATGTAACTCATTTCATCACTTGAAAATCAAATGTTTCATCAGAAATCATATGTTAAAAATCCAACACTTCGTATAAGTGTACTAAATATCATAGTTACCTTCTCATCTTCGATTTGAAAAACAACCTCTCCATTTAAAGGTTTCGCTAAAAAGGATATTTTACGATTAATTCAATCAGCGTAGACAATTTGATATGTAACTAATGTTGCAGGTATAATTAATATCTAATAAATTATGTTTTAAATCGTAACATGTTGTGAACATAATTATTGAAATATAAATATATATATGCATTTTTGAAAATAAATACAACAATGCGTTCTACATTGATTTTATGAGATTCTTTGCAAAAACAGGACATCTTTAGGGGGATGGATATCAAACGGCGTCAACAAAATACATGTACACTGAGAAATCCCTATAAAACTCTAACCTTTTATCAGATTGTCTACATCTTGAGATTGTTCATTTATGTTGAGACTTTTAATTTTCATTTTGTGCAAACTGTACATGAAATGTTTCAATGTCCAAGTTTTAGCATTCAAAAGAGTATGGCAATCAAAATCCTTGTAACTTGAATAGAGCTGCATGGTTATATATTTCCTATCACAGGAAAGGTTGTATTATTTGATGTGTCTTTGATGATTATATTAGGATCGAAACATCTCCGATGTAAGACAGGAATCTGCACTAGCTTTTAATTTTTACTGAAGATCTATGATTACTTCTGATACTTGTTTGGATCGTTATAATAAAAAAAACAAAAGAAGTCGATGAAAGTTGGTATTTCACATAAGGATATCGCCCAACCAGTAGGAGTGCGATCTAATTCAAAAGATAAGTATGATAAGACCATATTATGCCGCAGATATATGGTTTGTGTTAATGTTCAAAACGTACAGAAATCCTGCATGCTACCAATATAGTGGAGCACCCCAACGCCATATTGCTGATTACAACAATGAGTGTTTTGTATATACAACGTAATTCAAACAGTCGACTAGAACAAGTAGATATCCGTCTTGACCTTGTTGTAGGGTATGAATGATTCGTTCATTATTGAAGACCCTACATCAACTGTCAAGATGAAGAACAAGAATAAAAGCACTGTTCATTGCTATTTATTTTATTTTTTTATATGTATTGTGTGCGATTTTGTCCCATGTACATTTACTCCATATCCTTTTATTTGCTATCAAAGTGAAATGTATGAAATAGTTTCAATTGTGTACCATAAATCTTTTGGAAATCAAAATACATAAAGAATTGTGAGCATCAATACCCAGAGGAACGAAAAAAAAAACAGTTTAATCAGTTAATCTAATCAAATCTAAGGCTCTGTGTTGAAGGCCGACTTGGATGGAGAGTTGTCTCATTGGCAGTAGTACCACATCTTCTTATTTATAATCAGTGTCAGCCTAGTTTTCCTTGAGGGAGTTGTTACCCAAGTACAGTCAGCTGCACATTTTTTACACTTCTCAATCATAAGGTCTTATTCCAATCCAAAACAGATATTTTAATACAAATTTTAAACTTGTCTAGTTCAAACTAATCTTTTTCATTCTAATAATGTGTCCATATTTTTTTCGAGGTGCAGTAAGCAGTCTATGTAATAATTGATAACTGAAATGCTTACAAACATTTACTAATGGGAATGCAAATAAAATATTAAAGCCATTAGACTGATTGGTGTTTTGCTTGATAATATTTATGTTTGTTTAGAGAATAGAGTTTACCGACAAGCAATTAGTTTTCGATGGGAACTAAATTTGCCAAAAAAATCCTTATTGTAAATTTATTTCTTTATTGTTATAGATAAGTGTGTGGCAAAACTTTACAAAGACTCAACGAAACAACATTTGAAAGATGTTTTTACAATATCCGCAGATATTTATAGGATATATTCTGTGAAGATTTTTCTATACAAACTTGAAAATAAACTTTTTTTAAATCAACTTAGCTTTACTCAAACAACTATAGTAACAGATGCCCAGTTTAGACATTGACATTAGAATATTTCATGTTAAATTTCGCATCAAAACTTATGATAATTGAAACGGTCTTTCCTTATACCATGGGTCCTTTTCTTGATAGTGTGTATTGATAGCGCTTTTCTTAATATGCAGTGTACATTTCTCCGTTTATTCGATATGCCAATGTTTGCAGTGATGTTTCGGTTTTCTTCATTCAAAGCACATGCATCTTTACATTGTATTCTGTTATAACCAAAATCGTATTATCGTGTTCTGTTTATGACGTTGCTGCATGAAATCTTCAATGATTTGTTTCTCACCAAGATTCGAGTGACGAACGGAACGAATTCATATCGACATGGTTTAGTACTTTTGAATAGTAACTGCTAATTTTCTCTGACATGGAATAAGTTTGTTTATTATTTTGTGTTTATATTTACGTTGAAATTGTCTTTTACAGTGTTACGTAATTGTCCTGTAAAACATTTTTGTTGTAGGTTTGTTTGTCTGCCTTTTGACGTTACTCTGATAGGGTTTTAATTTGGGAGGGTTGAGGTTTCAAAAACTATATAGTTCTACCCCGCCACATTTTCATGTTCCTATCCTAAGTCAGGAACCTCGTCAGTGATTATATAATGTCATATCTTAATAGTTTAATTATCTGATGAATTTGGTGTTGTTGGTTTATCTTTGAAAGTATCTTTTTAATGTATTCAAATTGTTTTTAGACTGAGGACAATTTAAAGCTTGACATATTGTATAGACAATTGTATACTGTTGACGGCTGTTTTTGACCTGATTAGTTGTTTTTATTTTTGGGTTGATGTCTTTTTAACGTAGTCTCGACATCTCTTTTTATTCATTATACCATATGAACTGACATACCTTTGATTTGAATGTCTGCATCTACTTGATTATCAGTTGGCTTTCCTGGAAAGTGAAAATAGCCAATTAGTTTTAGATTTAATAACAAAATATCATATTCACTATGCTCATAGACTATAGAAGTTGTCACATTTCAAAAGAGTAACACACGGGCAGTAAAGATAAATTGTTGTAGATTTTATGTTCTCAATATTCAATATTGTTAATAATGTAAAAGAGAGGCGAAAAACACCAAAAGGACATTCAAACCTATAAGTATTATGTACCAATAGGCACATTTCATAAAGGTGTATTGTCTTCGATACGTGTAACATAATATACTGAGACAGTTTGTTAGAACATGCTTTCGTAAAATGATTAAAACACATTTTATTGCATTTTTAGATCAGGTGCATGTATACATGTATTGTTATGTGAGATTTACGCATTTTTACAGCAGTAACAACCTCTGAATCTGACCAGAAAAGTGATATACATTTATTAGTTAATATCCAATGGAATATATAGTCAATGGATATTAATGCAAAATAAAAAAATAACAGAAATAAGACCATTATTCAAATAAACATAATGAATAAAGACCTAGGTAAATCTTACTTCTGCAGTTTTTAATGTTTAACTTACTTTTTTGTCTTTCAAAGCACCATTTGCAACATATGAATAAGATAACAGATGCAAGGATACATATTGTAATTATAAAAAGAATCGTATAGACGTCTGAAAAAAAAAGTAAATATCTTTACGTAATGAACATGTTAAAATATGTAATATATTTCTAAAATAAAGCACGTATCAAAGAGTAAAATGAATATTGATGACCTGTTACATCTATATATTTTTTTGTTGCAACTTTTAAACATAATTAAGGTATGAATTGAAAAGAGGTTTTGTGTATAGGTCAACCAGACAGCCACCCAATGACACACAAACCTCAAAAACACCCAGAGATCAACATAGTTGAGAGCATTCAACAATAGCATTAACAATTACTAGAAGTAGGTCAACACGATGGAGACAAAACTTATACCTGTGATTGCTGTCGATACGGAAATGGAAGCTGTATGTGGACTGCTACCAATACTGTTCTTTGCACACATCCTTATTGCATATACTTTCCCGCTTGCAAGTCCAGTGATTTGATAAGTTTGTATACTTTTATCACTGACGTCTGGATTATACTCTTGTACACTCCATGAACTTGCACTTTCAATCTGATACTCAAAAACAAACGTTTGATCGTATCCTCCATTGTATCCTGGTAACCATCGGAGATCGATTTTGTCTATCGTTGTCTTAATGACTTGCAAATATTTTGGTTTGTCTGGAGGACCTATTCAAATAAAATACTAATTTACATATATTTTAAAGATATACAGTTATTATATAAACAATCCGTAGTCTATATAGCGATACTCTTTTATACAGATGTTTTGATGAGACACTTTCAACAGGAAATAGGTGAATAAATCTAGGTTTTGTATTGCTGTTTCGATGTATTTATCATGTTTTATACCGTTGGTTTGGTTGAAACATTTTCTACAGGAAGATGGTGGATTAATCAGGTTTTTATACTGCTGGATTGATGGAGAAAATTTCCAAGAGCCGTAATTGGATAAACCAGGTTTCATACTGGTTGTTGGGTAGAGAAACTTTCCAATCACAGGAAGTTAGTGGATAAACCAGGTTTCATACTGGTGGTTTGGTAGATAAACATTCCAGACACAGTAAGTAAATGGATAAAGCAGGTTTTATTCTGATGATTTGGTCACTGGGTTTAGGTGACAAACCTTCCACATGAAGTAAATGAATTAGCCAGATATTATTTTGCCTGTTGGGTGGAGTCAATTTTCACAGAACGGAAATGAACTACGCCTGGTTTTATACTTGTTTTTTTTTATGGAGACACTAGACACAAGAAGTGGATTAAATCAGGTTTTATAGCATCGCGTTACCAGTCCGGTAGTCATTCTGACTTAATCAATTTAACCTTAATTTAATCCCTAACAATTAACAACTTAAATCCTTTTGAAACCCCAAATGTAATAACGTCAAATTACAAGACATAAATACTGCAACTGATCAAACGTGGGAATAGCATCAGTACATTTGATCTCTTGAACGATAACTTTATATACAAAATAAAAAGAACACAGGCACAAACATCGAAAAAATCTTGAAGATATATAACTAAAAACGCATTAAGCAAAACAAATGCAATGACAGATTAAAATAAAATACATTATTACATAAATTGAAAAAAATGGTAATGTTTTAGTTGCCCAATGTAAATACGTACCAACATACGAAGTATCCATGGACAGGTTGTAATTGATGTGGGTGTAAACTCCCTCCTTATTTCTTTGGAAAAAAGAATACGTAAATATGTTTTATTATTACATTGGTTCCAATGAATTATCGTTATTTCCGAGTGAATAAAAACCGATATTTAACATGTGAAATACACTCGATAATTTCACTCCTCTGACGTCATACAACAAAAGATGTTGTCAAGACGTTGTCGAAGACTTTGCATCAAAGCAAATTGTGAATGTGTAGAAAAGGGTATAGTCTCTTGCATTTTCTACTTTATTTCCATTAAAAAGCACAATGTCAATGTAATAAAAAGAATTCAAATATCAAAAAATATTCAACTCGTGACCAAACAACACTGATAATTAACACATGCACTATGCGCATTCGTCAATTAATGTGTTGTTAGGTCCCTTGCTGAATATTTTTCTCTGTTTGAATTCTTAGATTAGTTATTCTATAATTATTTGACTACATATAATGAATAACAATATAACATTTTTTTAGATATGTTTTTTGAAAAACGGAGACGCAGAAGACTGCGTAATAAGAGTACCATTTAATGTTTGTACATATTTACACACAATGGATTATAAATGCAATACATTCTAAAACACTATCATATCATCAACCTTTATAGAGTATTAAAATAATTAACTTAGAAAATTCCTTTTTTTTTGTAATACCGTTGGATACAAATTAATAATTTTGACAACAAATTTTCGATAGAATTTTTTGGCATATCATGCACTTTTTTCACTAGTTTGTGATGATAGGTTAATATTTCATGTAGAACGGATGTATAAATTTCTCTCTCAAATCTTCTACTAAACTATTTTAACATTCGCATATATAATATTAACACTGTCAGACTCATCAATTGATTTTAAATTGTTCAAGAAAATCTCATCGTTAGAGTCTTCGATATGGCTTGGGAGTTTATTTTGTACAAAATGTATGTAATCCGGAGGACTACATTGATTTGTATGAAGGTCAGGGATTCTTATTACAAAAAAAAATATGAAAATTGATCGTAGGTTACTCTAAAATGTTTAACTCGTACATAAAGATTTTTTCGTATTTTTTTTAATGAGCCATAGATGTTTTGTGCAAAGAATAACTTGATGATATACCTCTGAATATACTTATTCTTTCAAAGGAAATCATATTTAACAAATTCCTATAAAGTTTAATGCAAACAGTTTTATTTTATGAATGGAAATGTATAACGATAGTAATTTTGTACATCCCAATTGACAAGCCCTGACTACTGTTTTGCGTGAAACCATGTTGCCAAAAGCCAGTGACACACACGATAATAGTTAGATACCAGATTTCCACATCCAGGTAATTGAGAACTTCATTCTATACTACAACCATTAAAGAAAAGTCCAAATATAGCAGACAAACGACAACAACTGGATTATAGGGGGTTGGCTTGGGACAGGCACATGCAAAATGTGGCGGGATACACAAGCTTGCGATCGCTCGATCCTCTCCCTAACTTTGGACATTGGTGTTATACCACAACATTATACAAACTGTAAAAATCAGTTGAAAACGACTTGACCTATCAGATTAGTACTAAACACATAATAAAATAAAAAAGGTCAAAAGATCAAAAAAGAATACAAGATATGTACAAAGTACAGCTCAAATAGTGATGAAAAAAAAGCAGCCAGGATCATTCTTAATAAAGCATATAATACACCGTCAAAAACTTTATTCAAACAATTAGGATGGTTAACTCTTCAAAAAGGATCATATATCACAAAGGAGTCTTAAAGTATAAGTGTTTAAATAGTATTGTACCCGATTATCTGTGTCAATTACTTAACAATAACCAAAATGTCAACGCAAGATATTCTTTGCGTTCATCAGACAACAATTGTCTTTCATACCAAGTCCACGAAGTTTTTTTATGAAAAATACATTTCAATAGTCCGTTACTGTCCTTTGGAACAGTATTCCTGTAGAAATAAAAAAAAAAGACAGAACAGACAAAACAGTTCAAACAAATGTATCATAATTTCTTGTTTTTAGAACAAAAAAGCTAATTATCAGGTTCATATACACATGTAAAACCAACGAAATAATGATTATCACAGAAATTTATCCATAGTCTAAAAATCCATATATTTGTCATATACATCATTTAGGAAATATGTTCATGAAACGTAACAGTAAGTCTTATAATCTGTATGTTTTTCATCATTTGTTTAGCATAATAAGTTGTATTTATGTATATGTATATATGTATATATTATATTATTATATTTTGAGTTATTCAGAGGGCATCAGGGGGGATTAGTATTGTACTAACTGATTTTACCCTCTTTAAATAAAGTATTTATTATTATCATCATAAAACTAGTTCAAAGTCAAATTTGAATTATAGTGAATGAAACATGTTTTCCAAGACTAAGAAATTAGTCAGTACACTTTCAACGGATATTGAATAAAAGTACCGTAAGCAGTCTGCGAAAAGTCCAAACTGAGCAGTCAACATATAAATATCGAGGATGTAGTACCATAAGTTTAAATAACTAAATAGCGATACATATTGGAAAAATAAAATGTTTGAATAGAATCAACACAAAAGTAAATGGGAAATCTTGAATAAATAAAAACGCTGATTACACAACTGAAAACCACAACTTACAGGAGACTGTGATCTTTAATATAAGTCAGAGCACGACACTTGAGATCGGTTTCAGTTTCTGGTAATAGCTTTGTTTTGTTTATCCAAGCACAATGCGGATCTTTTACACAGGAATCTATCAGTCGGTACTGTTCACAATTGATAACATTAATTTGTTGTACTTTAGTATCCGTCCCTACGTACACTGAACCTTCCTTTAAAATAAAACAATGTATGGTATGTTGATTTCTTAGCAACACAGTATAAAAATAAAAATAAAACAATTATTATAATTATAATAGAGAGTTTTCCCGTTGACTTAAGTTTGAGTTAAAGTAATTTTCCTTTGCCGCCATGTTAGCAGACAACGAACGCAAATTCCTTGATAAATTTAACGAATTCAGCTTCTTAAATTGACCGCTAGACATTATAGGAAAAATGGTTTTCTGAACAGTTTTCATTTGTTATGTCTTCTTTATTTTTGTTATCAAACTTTTACTTGTACCACATGTTGAAATTTGGTAAGTCAAACAAGAAAATAGACATGTTGAAAAATCTAGACTGTACCAATATAACGTGTGTAAAACTGAAACCCTAAAACTACTCTTAGAACAAAGGATAAACATATTTGATAGTGAGTTTTCACTAAGCCTTCCATAATAACCGTATAATTTAAAATCTAAAACCTCGTAATAATTTACATTTTATCTTCAGAATCATATTATTTATCAAAGAAACTATAAATAACATAAAACAGAGAACACGATAGTTGAAAGAACAAAGACGAAAAGACACAACTATCAATAGACATTTACAAATAAAAGTTTAGATTCAGCATCACCAATCTTCCAGATATACGATGACGACCCCAGATGCTCTTGAAGGATAAGGAGTGTCTTTTACACTACTGACACCACTTCATAAAGCTAATTCAAATAAAATTACGGGAAGGACGACTATGGAAATATTGTTAAGAATGAGTTATTATATGAAATAATAAAACTATTATATACAATGTAGTAAAACACTTTTGACCTAAGACTGGTGTTCAACGAAACTCATTAAAAAGTACGAGCAGCGTTTTGTGATCACGCAAAACATCAAAAAAAATTGGGCACTTGCAGTCTTCAAGGTGGCTTAATTTTGGTGTGCAAAGAATTATCTAATCCAGAGGACTAGAATGATTTTTTACTGATCATTGTCTGTGGTAGTTCTATAGATATGACCTCGGGAGCGATATTTTCTTTTTCTGTTTGTTATCTATACATATATTTTAACTTATATCACAAATTGTTATTTTATATTTTATGTCCGATGTATTTGTTATCAATGTGCCACCCCCACCCCCTAAAAACGTAACCCATATTTTCTAAATAATACAGAATCATTTACCTATGCCTTTTTTTCAGCACGGATGTCAAGTTGGTTCAATATGAAACATTCAACATTCAAATATTTGTTTTTGTTAAACATTTTTTGTTTGTTTTTTGTTTTATTATTTTTAACGAATGTTGAAAACGAATGTTAAATGTTGAAAACGAATGATGAATGTTAAAAAAAAAATTAATGTTGAATTTTGAAATCGAATGTTGAAAAAAAAAAATTTGAAATAAATTTTTGAATGTTGAAATCGAATGTTGAATGTTGAAAACGAATGTTGAATGTTAGAAACGAAAGTTGAATGTTGAAATCGAATGTTGAAAAATTAAATCTTGGATGTTGAATGTTGAATGTTGAAAACGAATTAAAAAAAAATTGAAAGAAAAGATGTTTAACAAACAAAAAAATAATTTGAATGTTGAATGTTGAATGTTGAATATTTCCACGTTAACCTAATCTGACCAAGCCAACAGCTGGCCACAATGGACCAACAGATAGGCATATTTAAGCAGTTATGGGTTTGATGATATGCAATTAAAACTTATAAGCAAATGTTTCTCATAGAAGTGGTAAAGGTTTGTGCCATTTTTAGTAAAATTGTTAATAATGAGAAACAGGATAATTTATAACACAATGAAATTGCTGGTAATATTTAGAATGTTAACAATCTAACCATAATACTTACAAGCTGTTCTATGGACCAAATAACTTCTTGATCTAGGGAAACCGAGTATATACTTGAGACATATGTCCTCTTGCCATCCTTATTAAACAATTTATAGACCTTTCCAGTATCTATAAAGGTAGACACACACACACATACATATACAGATGAAATAAAGTTTTATTTATATTCTATCAAACAATATATATCATGAACTTTTTCTTGTCCAGAATGTGCATGACATAATGATTGATTTCCTTTTTCAAGTGAAAGCTTAACTAGGGAATTTTCGACTTGGTTTAAAAAACAAACACAGGCTCAAATTAATGAATGACCTGTTATTCATAGCTTAACAATTGAGCTACTATATATGATGACTTTAATTATACATTACAGTTAATCCAATTAGATTTGGTCTATTTACCAAAATAAGTTAAAAATTAAATACCTTGCACATGCAGAATTGGAAATATGGTATTAGATATGCCTGTACAAACAGTTTAGAAGAAGTTGAGTAAAACACCAGACAAACTTATAGACTAAAAGTAAAATCTTGATTTTATCTATTTTCTTGTCTGTAAAGACTATGTTCGGGACAAAAGTAATGAACAATAGATGTTAGCAAAATTCCAAATCGACCGATGTTATAAATTTCACACATTTTCTGTGAAATATTTTGGAGACAGTAGTAGTGCCACTTGCGTTCAAGCTTCAGTCTTGCCTCTTTGGAAAACTTTAATTGTTTTTGTGAGTTAACCACCAAGCCTTTGAGGTATATTAATTTAGTAACTTTCTTACTTGATGCAGCATAAAACACCACTTCCGTCAAATTACGATGCAATTCTAGTCGTTGTAATTCCGTCTGATACAAAACAAAAATCGGTTCTCCATTTAACGGTTGCACTGATGCATACATTAAGGGATTGTTGGCAATGAATTGGAGGTTGGCCTCAGCGAGAGACATTGAATCGTTTGAGCACTGAAAAAAATAACAAGTTTTGATAATAATAATGCGTTTGTATTACACTCAATTAACACAAACGAAATTATATTTCCAAGACTTAATATAGTTTTAGATGGATTTGGCTATTTATTCAGGTCCTTTTTGGTTATATAGCTCTTCAACTGTTTAGGTTCTTATACATCCTTGGCTTTCAAATATTTGGCTTTGAGCGTTCCTGATGCAGGTAAATCCAGAAAAGCGCTTCGGACGTATGAAATTTATAACGTGTTGTTTTCATTTTTTACAGCAGTGGGTCGATACCTCTGCTGGTGGACTATCAGTCCCCGATGGTATTATCAGCTCAGTAGTCAGTACTTCGATACAAAGCATTTTAGAATTGTTCGTTAATAAATTTCGAAATTATTAGAAACTAAGGTTTTAACTCCTTCAGGCAAAATTGACCTTAGACGGATTTGGCTATTTTTTTAGGTCCTTTTTGGTCATATAGCTCTTCAACTGTTTAGGTTCTTATACATCTTTGGCTTTCAAATATTCGGCTTTGAGCGTTCCTGCTGAAGGTCAATCCAGAAAAGCGATTCGGACGCATAAAATGTATAACGTGTTGTTTTCAATGTTTAATTCCTCTAGCACTATTGTTTCTATACTTCTCTTCCTCTTGTGAATCGCTTCCAATCGTTTGTCTAAACATAAGCTCCACTATAACTAAACGGTAAAATAAACAAACAAACAAACAAACAACAAAAACTATGTCATATATATATAAATGTTTTTCGTGTTGTATTTAGACCCCTCTACCAAGAAATTTGTTTTGCATGCACACGTATAAAAATTGCGTTTTTATCCAACGCAATCATAGGTTTGAACGTTGTTTTCAATTTAGACTTATTTATATTTTTTCGTTTGGGCTTGTATTATATTTGCCTTCGGATTTATATGATCCGTTCATCCTATTTCGACTCTTCAAAATTCAAGAGTCTATTCTAAATTAAGGTAAATCATATGGCCTTCAAAATACCGTTTCGATTCCTAACATCACTGAAGAGACATTAATTGTCGAAATCCGGATATGGTGTACAAATTTTTGCACCTCATGTTTGCGGTATACCATCTTTTCCGCAAGTTTATTGTTTTCTGTTTGGTATTTAATTAATAATAAAGATCCATTTTGTTACATCTTGTGATCCGTTTATTTGGCAATCGCCAATGGCAGTCAGCAGGGTTGAAGAACATCCGTTGTTCGACCTGTTAGTCAAATGCGTTTTGTTAAAATAAATTTTTTCATTTTTTTGGTCTTTTGGAAAATGTTGTTTGTGCTGTATTTAGACCCCTCTACCAAGAAATTTGTTTTGCATGCACACGTATAAAAATTGCGGTTTTTATCCAACGCAATCATAGGTTTAAACGTAGTTTTCAATTTAGACATGTTTTCAAAAGACCAAAAAAGTGAAAAAAGTATATTTTAACAAAACGCATTTGACTAGCAGGTCTAACAACGGATGTTCTTAAACCCTGTTGACTGCCTTTGGCGATTGCCAAATAAACGGATCACCAGATGTAACAAGATGGATCTTAACTATTAATTTAATACCAAACAGAAAACAATATATATTTATATGCAATTAGTTTTTAGTAAATCAATTTACTTATTTCTGTTTGTAAAGTTTTGGTAACACGAATAACGCTAAAAAAACCACTAGAATAAAGAAAACGAACGTCACAAAAACTTACAAAACCTTCCATACAAGTGATTCTGGCCACATAAATGAATTGAGAAGATACCAGTTTAACTTTAATACACGTTGATGTTCCTGGCACAATTAAGGGAAAAATTTCATTGGTTGTAATTATTCGTGTTTTAATCTTACTAGTATCTTCTCCATCTTTTTAATTTTAAATCTTTTAGAGAATTGACTGACCAATGTTTAATAATCTGTTGGGAAATTTATTTACAACTTTGTTAGATTCTTGTCTGTTGTTGAAGATAATTTTTGATATTTATAAACTCCCGTTAACCTTCAAATGCATACATCCACCCAAACGCAACAAATTACCAAGAAATATCTAGAGTTCAACTTGAACATGAATTAATTAAGATATTTTTTTTTAATTATTAAATGCCAATTAGGCCGCAACCAAATGACATCAAAGACCACCTCGAAATTATTTATATTAAGCTAACATCTTTTTTATACTTGACATAAATTGGTAGCTATCCCATTAACACATATTCCACGTTTTTTTCTGTTAACAAATTTTATCAAAAGTTTTGAGCAAACATGATCATATATATATATATATAAATATATATATATATTATATATATATATATATAAATACGTCTGAAAGCAGTGACAACTCTACAACAGATTTATCCATCGGATCACCAGCAGTGACGCGTCGGATACAGTGCAGGCGATTTGGTGTCACGATATGTCAGTAGCATGAGTTCGAATCCCGGCGAGGGAAGAACAAAAAATTTGCGAAAGCAAATTTACAGATTTTACATTGTTGGGCTGATGTTTAGACGAGTTGTATATATATATATATATACAAGTCTAAATTGAAAACAACGTTCAAACCTATGATTGCGTTGGATAAAAACCGCAATTTTTATACGTGTGCATGTAAAACAAATTTCTTGGTAGAGGGGTCTAAATACAACACAAACAACATTTTCCAAAAGACCAAAAAAGTGAAAAGTATATTTTAACAAAACGCATTTGACTAACAGGTCGAACAACTGATGTTCTTAAATCCTGCTGACTGCCATTGACGATTCCCAAATAAATCGATCACGAGATGTAACATGAATCATAATTATCAATTTAATACCAAACAGAAAACAATAAACTTGCGGAGAAGATGGTATACCGCAAACATGAGGCGCAAAAATTTGTACACCATATCCGGATTTCGACAATTAATGTCTCTTCAGTGATGTTAGGGATCGAAACGGTATTTGGAAGGCCATATAATTTATCTCAATTTAGGATAGACTCTTGAATTTTAAAGAGTCGAAATAGGATGAACGGATCATATAAACCCGAAGGAAATATATAATACAAGCCCAAACGAAAAAATATAAACAAGTCTAAATTGAAAACTACGTTCAAACCTATGATTGCGTTGGATAAAAACCGCAATTTTTATACGTGTGCATGTAAAACAAATTTCTTGGTAGAGGGGTCTAAATACAGCACAAACAACATTTTCCAAAAGACCAAAAAAGTAAAAAGTATATTTTAACAAATCGCATTTGACTAACAGGTCGAACAACTGATGTTCTTAAACCCTGCTGACTGCCATTGACGATTCCCAAATAAATCGATCACGAGATGTAACATGAATCATAATTATCAATTTAATACCAAACAGAAAACAATAAACTTGCGGAGAAGATGGTATACCGCAAACATGAGGTGCAAAAATTTGTACACCATATCCGGATTTCGACAATTAATGTCTCTTCAGTGATGTTAAGGATCGAAACGGTATTTAAAAGGCCATATAATTTATCTCAATTTAGGATAGACTCTTGAATTTTAAAGAGTCGAAATAGGATGAACGGATCATATAAACCCGAAGGAAATATATAATACAAGCCCAAACGATAAAATATAAACAAGTCTAAATTGAAAACAACGTTCAAACCTATGATTGCGTTGGATAAAAACCGCAATTTTTATACGTGTGCATGTAAAACAAATTTATATGTAGGACTCTGAACCGCGATGGTCACTCTAATGTGCGATGGTTTGACGCTGAGGTGCGTTTTTGATCACACTGAAGTACGATGGTGGCATTGTGACGTTATATTGTAGATAACTACGCCGAAGTGCGATGGTGGTAACGCTGAAGTGCGATGGACTACATAAACTATATTTTCAATGCTTTTCATGTCGACATAGACGCCAATTAGTTTGTAAGAAGGATTTTTTTCGGATTTTTAAGTTAATAAGGGGTTTGTACACTTTTAATACTATGGGAAACGGTGTTTGATTGGGGGAGAGAGGAAAGTTATACTTCTGTAGCGGATTTTTTTTCGAAATCTGCAAAAAGTTTTGTTACGTACGATGGAACGTGGCATTCTCTAAATATATACATGTCCGCAGACTCTCCTTATTATAATATAACGGTAAACGAGCGAATGGGCATCGCACTTCAGCGCAGACCATCGCACTTCAGCGTGACTATCGCACTTCAGCGTCCCCATCGCACCTCCGAGTCCTACATATATAAAGATCCTCGTCAAATAAAATACATGTTTCCATCACCTCCAGTTATTGCTTATCACAGACCCAAGAATCTCAAAGATATACTAGTTACATCTAGGTAATAAAAGAGACCTCTAAAATCGGATGCTACAAACAATGTGGAAGAAGCAATTGTAAGTGCTATAAAGTCACCAACACTGAAAACACTTTCACCTGCACAGTAACAACGCAGATATACAATCTATGTAACACCTGACTGGTAAACGGAAAATGGTATTTATATTCTTACTTGTGGAACTTGCAAGCTGCAATATGTTGGCAAAACATTCCTAAATATTCACCTGTCATTTTAAACCAAAGGAAGAAATTGCCCAATCACGAGACACCTCTTAAGAACAGGACATTCTTTGAAAATATCATCTTTCAAAAAAACAGAGGTTAACCAAACTTGGGACACACACACAGAGAGATATTTTGGATGCATCAGCTACGTACTCTCGAACCTGACGGACAGAATGAAAGAGGTGAAAAACAGTTTTATCAAAAACCAAAGAAATAAATCTTGAACTTCATACTATTTAACTAACACATAGTACAATTGTCTTTTTATTTGTTAAACACAATGTACAATTAGCTGCAAAAATATATTAAAAAGAATGTACGATAAGCTGCTTATATTTCTTAACAGCATCCCCGTTTACCTGGATGGCTGCAGGCGACTGATGAACGGCTTATTTATTTAGCTAAATATTGCGTGAATATATAAAATATAACAACTATTTTTATAGCAATCATTAGCGTGTTAAAGTTACATTCTTAGGCATTTACATATATATATGTAAAGTGTCCAGAAAATCAACATAACATTGTTACAGTAGATCTGATTATTTTCTTCCTCCCCAACCGGGGCTGTAACCTGTACTTTTTCTACATATATATACATTTAAGAAAATTAATAAAAGATAATAACAGTTTAATTCATCACTTTTACTAGGGCTTTCACTGCTTTCGCAGATCTTCAGGTAATGTGACTTGTATACATAAGTGTTATAAAACAATTTATATATATATATATATATATATAGCAGCTATAGTTAGAGGAGGGGATAAGGCGTCTGCGCAATGCTAGGCGGTGTTGAAGTATGAAGTGAAAAAGTACAGGTCCAGACCCGCTGGGGGAGGAAGTAAAGAATAAGATCTACCCTAACATTAATTGTTAGGTCGATTTTCTAGGCACTTTATATATGCGTAAATATATATACATTGTATATATAAACAGACAACTAGCCTAACCTGTCCCGGTCTAGGGTCTAACGACGTTTTTTTCTCCTTCCAATATGAGTTAGAATCGGGCTGATCTTTGAATGAACCTTTATAAACTTTGTCAATTTCTGCTAAACTGAATGCGCATATGGCTGAAGCAGGATTTCCAGTTCTGAAAGATAAAATCATTGATTCAATGATAATAAAAAAAAGTTCTTTCAAAATAAATCTATAGTATATACATTCTGTTCAAATCCTGGGTTCGGCAAAAATGCACATTTGTATATCTAACTTGATTTATGCAAAGTAAATATATCAAGTAGTTCTTTCAACAGCCAATCAACTTTACAATACACATGTATGATTTTCTTAATTGAATTAGTTTTCTAGAGAACAAAAACTAAGTTAACGGAAATAATTAGTTTTTATGTTCTATACAAACCTGGTCGTAAACAACCCATAAAAAATGTTGTTATCTATCGTAACTACATCCTCTACAAATAAATGAACAAACAATTTAATTCATATCAAATAACTTATCACATGACTATAAAAATTCTCTTTTCTCATTGGCTAAAACATCTTTTTATCTTAGATAACTAAAAACATAATATTCACCGTGGGAAAAATCATAAAAGGTAAATTTATAATACCGTTACATAACGTTTTGTGTAATATAAGATTTGGAACTATAAATAGTTTTATCCTAGGCAACGTCAATAACGTAGGCTTATGACGTCATACACATTCTCGTTTTTCTTCTTCTTTTTGTCGATGTTATTTTTTTTCAATAAATTTTATTAAATATTTCAACTTTTTAAAAGTTAAGAAACTGACAAAGCAAATAATATATTTAGTGTATAAGGAGAGTTAAATATCTTGAGAAAATACTAGAAATTGGAGATGGGTGAAAAAGTAATATAATAATTTATAAAACAATTGTCGACTTTTTGATATCAGTTGATACAATGCATTATCAACCCCAGAGATATGCCTTTTTCCCTCGGCCATTGGCCTCGTTGAATATCATACCTCTGGGTTAAGTTGATAAAACATTGTGTCAACCTGATCAAAAGTCGATAATTGTATAATATTAAATTCGTGCACTCACATGTTTTATTCCAGACAGTCATCATTCCAAAAAATGACATAGTTCAAAACAAAACAACTTTGGTTTTCGTGTGTAATTAATTGTATATAAAACTCTGAATAAAGGAAAACATTATATTGATCATTTACTTAGTAATCCTATATATTATAACCTAAAGACATTTCTGAAGGAGAAAAATTCAAAAATCATACATTTGTTTGTTGAAGTGTTACAGTGAGTGAATTTCAATCAAAGAAAAATGGTTCTTCATCTCCTTTACTGGATACCTACATAACATTGCTCAGTCTTTAGTTTTCTATGTCGTGTTTTGTATACTATTGTTTGTCTTTTCGTCGTGTTTCGTTTTCTTCCATGATATTGTCAGTTTGTTTTCGACTTATGAGTTTGAATATCCCTTTGGTATCTTTCGCCTCTCTTTCACATAGTGTCTCTTTAAACAACGCTATATATTCATTTTGATAATTCTCAAAAAAGATCAATAACACATCTTTCAAATTACTAACATTTTTCAGCTATCAAAACGTGGCTTAAATTATACTAGTAAATAAAAGTGTATACCGGTGTGTAATAGACAAGTTGAGACAGGCACATATGCGAGTGAAATACACTTAATTAAATGAACTCTAAACGTTATTTAAACATATTTTATTGTTCAAAATGACAAATGGATCAGAAACATTTTTAACAACTTAGTAACGTCTCTCCAAAAAAACTAAACGTAGTGAAACAAGAATATAAATTAAGATTTACGACAGCCTAATATACTCCTCTAGCTAGTAAAACAAAAAAATTTATTAATCAAAATGTTCATATTAAGGACGAGAACAAATTCAACAATATATCAAGTGGTTATTTTTTCAAACGAAATCATCCGGGGCGGGGAATTTGGGCATGATAACTACTGGGAAGAAATGTTGAATCACATCTGCTTTTCAACGCACCCGAAGAAGTGTTACATAAGTTTGACACAATCTTACAAGTTAATGAAAATCATAGTCTCCAGTCAAACGGGAATTTGTTGTGTATCTATACATCCCGTATAGCCAAAACGGAAGCACCCCCGGTTTTACATGTACTGCTAGAACGAAGGCACATGTCTTTTATGCAACCATGCTTCTAAAATCCCGTCGTTTTTGGGTACACATACATAGACCCCATGTACTAGGGTACATATACAGGCGATGTAATTACTCAAGAATGGGAGGATAAATGAAATCGTCGCTTTTTTCATAGTTAATCGCTTTTATTTGTTCCTTTGAGTCAATGTATAAAGTAGATATGAGTTAAATCAGATATGAAAACAGGAATTAGCGAGGAAAATATATCATATCTAGTCCAGGAAAATCATAAAAAAATATACTTACGTATGAAATCAAAATATATCGGATATGACCCAGGAATAGAACAGATAAGTCTTGCCTTTTGGTAGCTCGTCCATTTGTTTCTCAGTAACGAATTTCCGCCGACGTCTTTCTATAAAATATATATTTTCTATAACACCAAATTTTGATATGATTGATAAATATTTTAATACATGTAAGCAGGACCATTTTGTATACACCGGAAATTCAGAAGTCATATTCTAATCGACGAGTGAACGAACTTGGTACAGCACAAAAATTACTTGTGTTACCATGGAAAAACACAAGGCAATCTGACTAAACATCTAAAATTCCATCGAAATATGGCTATACTGAAATATATCTAAAAGACAAGTCACTCGTTTTTATACAATAACTCGGAATTTGATACTGTTGTCACGGACATTTTATTTGCATAGTATAATTATATTTTTATAAGGAATAAACGTTTCCTTTTGCCTTCTTAAATAACCTCAAAGTAAATTCAAATATCAATTAACAGATATAGTGTGCGATGAAAGAGTTAATTTCTAGTTGTCACAATGTATTAGATGTGACCTTCCTTAAAATATAATCGTCATCAAAATTAAAAATCCAACACTATATTATCAGAGTTTTGTTATTCTATGTGTTATATCGTTTTTATGATTTTTTTGTCATTTACTTTAGAAAAAAGCAAAATCACAAAAATACTGAACTCCGAGGATAATTCAAAACGGAAAGTCCCTAATCAAATGGCATAATCAAATGATAAAACACATCAAACGAATGGACAACAACTGTCATATTCCTGACTTGGTACAGGCATTTTCAAATGTAGAAAATGGTGGATAGAACCTGGTTTTATAGCGCTAAACCTCTCACTTGTATGACAGTCGCATCAAATTCCATTATATTTACAACGATGCGTGAACAAAACAGACATAATAGGTAACATTGTCAAAATATGGGTACAGCAGTCATCACTGTGTCACAATCTCAAAACATACAAACATTTAACAAAGAAGCACAAAAAGCATCTATCAAATTTAACAACCACATTCATTGCTTACTTATATATGTATTTTAAAATCAACCCATAAAGGCTTGAAATATTTAAAGTCCTGTGACTGCATTCACATCTACTCTTAGTGTAGAGTCGCGTGTTAGACGCCAGAAAAATGTAGAAAATGTAGAATAGAATGTTCTTATTTTAGTAATTTAAAGTACTTTACCGTAGGTGTTTTGTCTAGGGACTAACTTTTGAAATAACCGATGGGCTGATTAATATTACCTCACAATGCCTAACTGATGTAAGTCATGACAAATACGTCAAGAAATAAGATCATTCTCAATTTTGTTTAGGCCAAAAGAAGAATGATTTTTATTACGCGTTTGCTCAACACACTTCAGCATTTGTCTTGATACCCCTTGGACCTGTAAATTGAGTAAGCCTTTTAAATGTGCCAACACCATTTTTAAAATAATTTATTATCTACACATTTAATGAATCAATTTCTCTTAATAACAAAAATATAGTTGTTTTGATATTCCTCATAGATCGTAAAATATTTTGGTAAAACAAAGAAGACATTTATGAGTTTGGCTAACCAGCGAGTTAAAGTTTGAGGTAGAATTCGAGTTAAAAGTTGGGAGTTCGAGTCCAATTTCGAGTAAGAGAGTGATTTTTGATGCCAAGCGTCGACCTTTCTATGTTTTTTATTCATTTTTTAGTTACTCATTCAGTTGACCGGTAACTTGACAAAACGAATAGTATACATATTTTGTGTATCTGTATGGCAAGTCTCGATATAGAAAATGGTTTAGAATAGCTGACTTGAGAGGTTAAATTTCAATATAAATTGTAAAAGCCTTAGAATTCGTCAACATACTGATCTTCGAATCCATTCTTTATACAGTTTACTACACAAATCTGTCAGTCGAAGAACTTTATTGTTTTTTTCTTCTGCACTCAAATGTAGTTGATAGTTTACCGATATTAATAACAATTTTTGTGGAAAAGAAAAATTAACATAAAATAAAACATACAAACAAACAAACAAACAAACAGATGAACACACAGTACAGATGATTCTTAACATACACAGAAAATGACTTGGAACTTACACATTTTTTGTTACAATTTTGACTGCATATAATGATTGCAAAATTAATCAAAAACTGCAGTTGTTTTCATAATGTATCAGATTGTATCTATTCTTAATTTATTATTTATTATTTTTTAACATGCATGCTAATATAATGTCAGTTGTTATTGTGTATATAGAAGAAGATTTCATAAGTTGGATAAGGTAAGAAGAAGCAAATGAGCGATGGAGATTTATGAAATTTTGTATGCAACTAGAGAACGAGGAACTGAACTTGAATATCGAAAAAATTAATTCGTGCATTGTAGGATAATATAAAATCTGTATGTACGAGCTTTAGAAACAAAGAGAAAAGCGACGCTCGTTGGGCAGGGTCATTGAAAATGTTATTAAGTGAAAAAAATCGTTATTCTGAAAACGGTGCACTAACGTAAAATTAGATATTGGGTCTATTCACAAAACTGCTGATAACGCTGTGATGATAACAGGCTCCATATATATTTTGAATGAAATATAGTGCAAAGGGTTGATGATGCTGTTACAAATGATTCTAAATAATGAATAAATGTGTACATGTAGTTGTATCAGCATTTACTATGAGTAGCAGTAGAGTGTAACATGTCGGATTGGTTAAAGAAATCTAACACTACCACACATTTCAATATCTTACCAATTTAATAGGATTTTTTTTTAAATCTGCAAATCAAGATTTCTAAAATGTGTAAACAATAATTGAAAGATGCATCTTTTGTAAGAGAGTTTCCTTTTTGTCAGTATTATTGTCGTTAAAAGTGATGAAAAGGATTAGGAAAGCACCTTGTTTACATTCGAACGAACAACATATTAAGCACGGAGCCGAAAAAGATGTAACCTATGCCATTGATGCAGACTTGTCTTTCTTATGGTTCAATATATGTAGCAATGAAATATCACATAACATTTGTTCAAATAGTTTTTTTCCAGCTTTTCTTGGTGTAGTATAGTTGTCTTATCGAAGAAGGTCGGATTTCATCTAATTTAAAATTATACAAATAAAGTTGAAATGGTCTTTCATTGCATGACTTATGAATGAAAAACAGAAAAATACGACAGGTGTTTAATTATAATTCCATGCATAAAACACTGCTACGAACTAGTCTGACGCGATTGAGATATTAGAACATAAAATGCTACTGAAAAACAGTCGGCGGAAACATAGTGCCACCTTCACAAATAGGTTGTCAGTAAATGTATACGGTCAGTGGTTGTATATCACTATCTTTGTTTACAGGTAGTTATATTGTTTACCACACATAAGGATTATTGATGTTATTTGAAATTATCGTAGAGTACAAATAAAAATTGCTTACAAAAGACGAATAGAAAGGCACATACTAGTCCAACCAAAACAGTAACATGAATCAAATGCATAAATATACTGTTCGTTAAATTCTAAAAAAAATGTGGATATATTTGTTACCTTACAGACTTTGGAAACTCTGGAGTAAACTTTGTTATCGTTTGGAGGTACATCTACAGCTGTCTCTCGGAAGAAAAAGAGCACTCTGTCATCAACATCAAAAGAGCCTACGAACTGTGGATCTAATAAAAAACATTGTAAAGCTCGAATTCAATGTGTGTTTACCGACTGTGTCATATTCTAGATTTTGACATTCTCACTGAGTTTGGATTGTCTGGCGGTTGATGTTTGTATAACAGGAGACGCTTACCCTGTCGACGAACCCGGTCTCGCTTCTTTAAAAGTTCACGCGGTTCCCTCAGTTTTTGTTTGTTAACTTGATTTGTCTTCTTTATCGATTTTAATATTTGGACATAATTTAACTATACCTTTATATATACAACATTACTGCAGGTTTTGTTTCAAATCATTGATATGAGTTTTGCTTAGTCATTGTGTTTTTCAAAAGATCTTAGTTACATCGGCCGGTGTATCCCTGTTTCTCGTTACATTTTTTTCATCAAGACAAGACAGATCTCATCCAGAGTAAATAATTTGTCTTAATGCCATCCCCCCTCCCCCTTTTTTAATTTTTTTTATAAATACCGGTTTGTAAGTTGGTACAGATAGATAATCAAAAAATGACATTTTCCCTGGTAACTCTTTAAGTAGATTTATTAATACGTATTCAACTAATTTATTGACATATATAATAATTAAGCTAAAATACTACAAACATTATTTTAGTCTTCATCAACTGCTTTACATTAACGCCTTTTTTTTCTTTTTATATGAAAAATGCAGGTTACTTTTAAGACTATATTTAAGTATACCTTTCATCCACGTGTTACTTATTACGCCTTTCATATAATCATTAGTACCGAATATAGGTCTCTGAATTGTTGATTCAGAATGCAATGTGCTACCATAATAAATATCATCTTCTCTGCTTGAGTTGTTGGATTCTGAAAACCAATGTTTTAAACATTAATAGCGTTCCCACAGTTTTATTAGACGTGTTCATTCCCCTTAAGTTATGAAACAGAGACTGATATTCAAAACTCATAAGGCGAACAAAAACTGACAACGCCATGGCAAAAGAATGGAAATCGACGAAAAGAAGAAAATTTTTAATGTTCTACAAAAAAAAAATATAAAGAAAGCTAAAACTGAGTAGCACGAAACTACCAAAACACCAGGGATAAACGCAGGTGCTCTTGAAGAATAAATAGTTCCTGCTCTTCATGAGGCACCCGTCGTGTTGCTTATTTAGGGCAAAATCCGGTAATAAGTCACATTCGGTGCTGTCACAATCTAGTGAAAGAGGACGAAATTGTGGTGACGACAATTTGAACATCCGAGGCCATCAGTTACATAGATATTCCCTAACGGTCGACCAATTGATGATATGGTCCATAAATGATAAAGGGTGACTTCAAGTTTACCTCCATGTAAATCATACATCATCGACACATGGCGCTTTTAAATCGTTAATATCGACATTAAGATCGTATCCTGATACCGTTTTTGGGGTTTGGCAGTAAAACAAGTTAGAGGAAATAATGAACAGTACAGAATTGGAATTAACAATATAGTACAATCACTCATACTGTATCAAATTTGTGTACATTAATGTTAAATTAAACATTTGTCATTTTATTTAGAAAAATAGAGTTTGAAAATTGCTCTTCAATTCAAATCCTTTTCTAAGTGAAATTCGAAATTTGAATACAATATCTTTTTTTGATATCGCAAAGTTTCTAGAAAAAATTTAGAAAAAAATTGTTCAGAAATGCATATTTGCTTCTTTTTAGGATTTTTCTCTCTTATTTGGAATAGCATTATTAAAATGTCTCACTGATTGTTTTTCAATTTGACTTTTAAAATTGAAAAAAAACTCCAACATTTTTCAATTTGAAATTAACCATTAAAAAAAATGCCCCATAATAGAGATTTTTTTACATTTACTTAAAAAATATTGAAAAATGAAAAGTTCTCCATGACAGAGAAGTATCTATTTTCCTTTGAAAATTAAAATTTGACATTTCTCGGATCTGCATCCTTATTTGATTTTTAATTTGTATAACGAAATGAAATCTATTTCAATATGAGTTTTTTCAATTTTCAAAGTGTTGACAATATTCTTTAAAAGCTCCATTGTTTATTTGTTTTTTTAATTTTCATTTCTTCAAGTACTAGTAAAATGTGTTTGATGGACTTTATGGGGGATGTATACTGTGTGCGATATTAACTAGTTCTTAGCATATATAGTATACAGGGAAGTATGAAAATTACAAAAGCAAAATCTATCCATCCATCTATCTATCTAACTATCTATCTTTATATTCAGCCATCCTTCCACCCAACCATCTGCCTTTCTTTTTTAATTTTCGGGACCTCTAAGTGTATTTGATACCTTTGGCGGCATATTTTCTCAAGGAAACTGGTGTGTACAATGGGAAAGTCAAGATATGTATAGGGACGAAAAGCGCAGTGACAACGTAGTGGAAACGTAGCGGAGTTGTGGTTTGATCGAAGAAGACTCGCATTGAGATCGTAATGCGATCTGAAAGGTCTTGGTGGAAGCGTACAGAGATCGTGTAAGTCGAGGTAGGGTTTTATTAGACGGAACAAGAGCGTGACAAGATCGTAACAAGAACGTGTTACTATCGTAGCAGGATCTTATCAGGATCATAGCAAGGTCGTGGTATGAATGTGAAAACTATGAAATATTCAATATATCAAGCCGACTATTTTTTTTTATAGATTGTAGCGGGATCTTCATGGTGTTGGTCTAGTTCCACGGGAGCTTAATGGACTATTTTCTATTTTTATTAAAAAATTCATAAATTGGAAAAATAACTACTTTTCCTGTGAGTCTTTATTTATGAGTTGAAAACTGAAAAAGATAATGTGAACTTTGTCATAGCCTTTTTAAGTTTCAATTAGTAAAAAAAACCGAACCAAAATGCTGTGATCATTAGGATTCTTCTATTTACTTTCTTTGAAGAAAAATGGAAATAAGCCGCATAATTGTGAATTGTTTATATAGAACAAACAGTGAGCTGTGAAATATTCACTTATTTTTTTTTCTCAATCTTTGAATGAATTTTCTTTTCGAATTCAAGAGAAAATACATAAAAAATACACGGGTGTCATTCGGTTTATCGAGAGAAATGATCGTGAAAGAATATATAACGGTGGTCAAGTATTGCGAGACGATCGTGAAAGCTCTGGTACCGGACCGTGAATGTAATTAAATGTAAATTCTACTTCAGAATGTGTGAAAAAATCGTTGAATTTTCAAAATGCGGAACAAATCTGGACAAAAAAATATGTCTGTCAAAATGATTCAACTTCCTCAACATTACTGTGCAATAAGATAAAGAAAATATGCAGTACTTTATGAAAAAACACAAAAGGCATAATGCATGGCTAATGGTCGTATTTCAATGTATCATGATATATTTGAAATTTAATCTTTGTTGTGTCCGACAGTACAGTAAAATAAAAGTATGCTCTTCCCTTAAAATCGTTCATTTGTTTATGAAAACCTTGAATTTTGTTGATTTTTCATTAAACTTGATCGTGAAAGATCAGGCAACGCATTATTTTGATCGTGAAAGATAATGCGTGACCAGACTTAATAATCAGAAATCAATATTTCTTTTACCACTTAATATACCTACAACTGGTTGAAGCCTGTAACTTTTTTGATAAGAACGAACATGAAAGCTATCATTTGTTTTTTTAAATTCAACACTTTACCTCTAAAGTTAAAAAAAATTACTTAAAACGTGTCTAAATCAGTGTGAAAAATTCAGCTCTGAGAATAGGACTAGTGCAATTCAGGCAGACCGCCACTATTTAGCCAATAATATGGGTATGCAACGTTTAAACCAAAAAGTTAACCATTAACCAAAAACTTATAGCAAAAACAGCATCTTTCATGAAAAATTTGAGATTGAACGATAACCAACATTTTGTGCAACAATACTTTATATATCTTTGTATACAACGTAGCAGATGTGGATTGATTTCCAATGAGATAACTATATATTTCAGACTAAAGAATACCAGAGCGCAAATGCTGAAATGTCTCGTCTGCTTTACTTATGATAGTATATTTGTTGAACTTCTGTAATATTAAGGGTTTTACTAGAAGTGTCACATACGCTTAAAATTGTCAATGATTCATAAAAAGAGGTCAAGGTCAGATGAACCATGCCATACAGATCTCTACAGAAATCCCGTACACCAAATAGAGGTGTTCCGATGCTTACAGTACCTTAGAAACAAATGTAAAAGTTATGTTTGGCCAATTAATTTGGAACATGAGGTCGAAAGTATATGAACCCTGACCGACAGCCAGACACAGACATCTTACTATCAGTCAATATATCAAATACAATTGACGTCATATATGAAACATGCAGACAGACATGTACAACATACACCAAATACCGTGACCTTAAAGCATACAGGTATGTAAGCTTTATAAATATAATGGGCATAAAAATGAGAATTCAAAGTTATAAATACAAAATAAAACATCTTAATGTATAAAAAAAAACAATACTTATGAAGGACGGACAAATGGACTGGTATTGATACAATTTACAAGTCTGTGTGGTATTTTAAGATATTAGATCCAATGGCATTGCACGATTATAGCCCTATTTACCAACAAAAGAGACCCGGTTCAGTCATGCCAATTTAGTTTTTTTTAATACCAATAACAAATATTAATTATCATATAATTGAAGAATAATTTGAACGTCTTCGTAGCATCAAATCTTTCACGATCCTTTTCACGATCTTCAAAAACCGGTACGTGATCTTTCACGATCCGAAATATCAATTTTCTGTAAATATTTCTTTTTTTACCAAGTTTCAGATTATGTTTATACAAAATAACTATGAGAACCATTTGATGCATTCAAATAGAATGCCCTTTTTCGAAGAAAAATAGTTTATTTTATTCGAATTTGTGAAAAAAATCATGTTTGTTAACATTTTTGATGTCACTGAAATGTCGAGGAGCAATATGCCTTTTCTTGTTTTGTAAAAACTATATACTTTTAGAACTGGATTTTCTCACATACTGATCATAATGTTGGACCATTTTGACAGACAGTTTTATTTTGTTGTAAATTTGTCCGTGTAATTAATTAAATTAGATTATTTACTGACTTTTCATATGTTTTCTCGATTAAATTTCTTTCACGATCCGGTACCAGAGCTTTCACGATCGTCTCGCAATAGTTGACCTCCGTTAGATATTCTTTCACGATCATTTCTCTCGATAAACCGAATGACACCCGTGAAATAAGTGTGGCCAATTTGTTTTTCAATCTTTTAGTTGATATGGATATAACAAATGTTAGTATGTTTCTATAGTTATTTTGTTCAAGATTTACAAAAACTTTAAATTACTGAGCAAGTCTAAATTTCAAATTTCGAAAACCAAAATGAAATATGTTCGACTTGAATATACAAGGTCTTTACCTGCATAAATTAATTATGTTAAATTGTCTTCTTTTTATTTTAAAACTGTTATACATATTAAATCAAAACACAGAGGACATATCCTCAGTTGCAAGAAAACAAAAATCTAGAATCAACTAAAATTTAAGTAATATCCATTGATGGCAACTTTGACACTTTTCCTTGCTTTTGTTCAACAAAATATGTTTTTTTTTACAAACGAGATACTCACTAATGTAAATAGCTGTGAAATTGTGAAATGGGTCATTTGAACAAGGTACATTAGATCCATGCGTTGCTATGCCACTTGTTGTATTGATTTCAAAACTTATAGGTGCATCCGCGTTGGTACCGCATGCAAACAAGATATCCTCTTTCTTTTTACTGATAAACCTGATATGATTTTGACAATATGGCACCTGAAAGAATAAAATATCAGTCATCGATTTGAATATAAACAATTTCAACTCCATAGTCTGAAGTCTATATATAATACATAACTAAAGATCGAAGGACAAGGAAGAGTATAACTGTTCGGTCTTCAACAATGAACAAAACTAATACCGTATTTTAAGGTATAAAAGGCCACGTAAGGATGAGTATTAAAATACAGATAGGTATTAAAGTATGGATATGTATTAGAAATAGAAAACGAACGGCTTAATTCAGACTTATAACATTCAACGAAAGACAATATGACAGACGGAAACCTACGAAAATCAGAGGAATTCAAACATCTGGTTTGGTACAGAAACATACAAAATGAATTAGCTATGTCAAACATGTCTTTAAGCAGTCTTACAAATAAACTATTTCAATATCATTGATGTACATTACTTGTCTTTAGTAATATATGAAAGGGTAATACAAAGTATTTTTAAAAGTAAAGTTTTTTTTTCAATTCATTTAATAATTTAGCATATCCAAATCCAATATAAAAATAATGAGATGTGGTATGATTGCCAATGAGACAACTATCCACCAAAGTTCAAATGAAGTGGATGTAAGCAATTATAGGCAACCGTACGGCCTTCAACAATGAGAAAAGGTTTGTTTTAATTGGAAGTATATCTTTGTAATTTACATGTAACAAGTCTTAATTATTCTATAAACACTGAATACTTTAAATTTTCAAAACACCCATTTGCAAATCTTACGCCACACTTTCTTAAAGATACGGTGTCATGTAAATAACCAAAATATGCAGAATGACATTGGATTCATTAAATACTAAGTTTTAAAGCTCTAACGTCACGGTACCCAAATTGCACCTATCTAGCAAAAATAGCAGAGGAAATCTTACAAGTTTTCCTAAAGACTAAACAATTTGTATTTTTATGATTTGACACTATGCACGTCTTTCAACATAGGTAAATATATTTAGATATACACAAAAAGTTCATAGGATCCTTAAAGTTATAACTGTTGTTTTGCCTTCACCGCTCAAAGAATCGATGGCGTATCAAAATTGTTTTAAAAAAGAATTCTTTGAGAATTATAGTTAAAACGGTGATTTAAAGCGAAAAAAAAAACGAAAGCAAACCCCTTAAACTTACTGGGTAGTCTCCTTGAATTTATGTTTGTTTAAATAGAATTACGTTATCGTTTTACCGTACTCAATATAAAATTAGAAGATGTGGTATGATTGCTATTCTAATATGACGTTCTTCAAACGCTTTGAGTACACACCCTTGGTAAAATATGTGTTAGTCCATTTACAATTTCATACATTAAAATTGATTGTTGGTATTTTATTCTTTCTGTAAAAGATAGCCATTTTAAAGAAGAAAACATAAAATTAGATGGAACAAAAATATCACATTCAAGTATAATGCTTGCTACTCTTTTTTGAAGTTTTATGATTCTGTCTGATTCTTTTTGTAATAAATTTCCACAAACTGAACTACAATAGTCTATATATGGTAGAATGTATACATAATAAAATAGTTGTCTTATGTGTATAGGCAAATATTTTTCAAGTTTATACAAAAGTGATATTTTAGATGAGATAATCTTACATATACGATCAACATGTTCTTCCCAGCTTAAATTTTCATCAATGTCAATTAGGAAAAACACACACAGAAGAAGGCGGGGTAAAACATGTTTACTTTCCGTTATCACTAATTGCATAACAGTGGCACTATTTGCTTTTGTTATCCTTGTTTGCTTACGTTATTCCGGGTATTGTATAACATGATTTTTTTACATTAAATAACATAACATCTTAAAATGTGGTAACGTCATCGGTATTAGAGGCAGTTGCGGATCCAGACATTTTCATAAGAGGGGGCCCACTGACTGCCTAAGAGGGGCCCGCTCCAGTCATGCTTCAATGATTCCCTATATAATCAACCAAATTTTTCCCACAAAAGGCCCCCCCCCCCCCCCCCCCCCCCTAAATCCGCCTCTGAGAGGGCTAAACAAAAACAACTGTTATAACTACCGATCATAGATATTTGATTTCTAATTCTGCATTTTAAATCAATTGGATAGAAAATACAAACGTTGAAATGCATGATAATAGCAGTTTCCATCTTTCTAGGCGGTTTTACAAGCGACTATTAGGCGAGCCCAAAACTTGCCATGACATTCGAAGGCTTATTTTATATACATTTATGTGAAAAAAATTCTACCTTTTATCCTTACCTGCCTTTGGCGGAAATATATTTACATTTGACGCAGATGTTTATAATTTCTACAATTGCAATGATCTTTTTTCACCGATTGTATAACGTGTTAAGTTGTATTGTTTTAAATAGAAAATTAATTTTGTTTTTAATTCAAATACATAGATTACCTCTTGTTTGGAAAGTTTACAGTAGTCCAAGCTGTTCGGATTAGATGTGAAGCGATGGGATTTCTACAATGCAAATTTGTTATTCAGAATCTTACAAAATCTGCATTTCGAATTGTTTCTTTGACCTGAATTGTCATTATTGTAAATCATCCGCATGAAATGTAACAGAAAAAAAATATGACATCAGGAAACGGTTTTATTATAAAGTATGTATGTTGGTAAATTTCCAGTCGACACTTTTTTTTCCATTGTCTTATTTCTCTACACCAATCTATATTTTATATCATTAAAACGGTAATTTCAGTCGATACATGTAGGACTGCGTTTTAAGAAATAAAAATTAAATATTACAATGGCTATTAACGTGGATACTTTACAATTGAACTTCTTTTTTCTGGATATTTAATTTGCTATATATAGGAACGTGTGCAAGTTAAATGCATTGTGCAATATTTCATAGAAATCCGCCCATTTCAGTACATGGTACCTTAAAATATGAGAACATATCATATAAAACAAGCAATGGAAATCAAAATATACAATTTGTGAAAAGTCATTTAAATTATATACTTACCGGAACTATTGGAAACACTGGCTTGTCGGAAATATCAAGTATATCTATATAATTCCTTTCAAATGATAGTAAAAACCGTTTAAAATAAATATATATATATCCATATAAAAAAGTCTAAAGTAAACATTCAACAATTAAATATTAAAATGAAGACCTAGGAAAAAAATATAAGAGTTCAGAGATCTGTGCAACGAAACTGATAAAAAATAATTATATGCGATTTGAAAAAAATATTAGGAACTGTTCATTTTCTTTCATTAGTCGGGATGGGAGGAAACATCTGAATTTCTGTGATTTTTTTCAAGTTCCCACCTAGAAGAAAGAAAATATATTCAGTCTCCTCTTTCCAAAGATATGAAAACTTCAATTTGAAATGTATGCTCAATCATGAGTTTTGCGATTACCATATAAGTTAACAACTATAAAACATTATTAGAGTTTTATTATATGGAAAGGAGTATGATATTAAGAAAACCTCGCGAAAAACCTGTAAAAACCGAAAGACATCAAACCAATATTCCTTATTATAGTCATTCTTAATGTCCAACACACAAACAGAAGGTGGTAAAAATTCACATGAATAAAACATTTAACATTGAAATGAAGTTTAAGGTAAAAAAAATATGACACAATAGTTATAAATATGAAATCTGAATCTAGAGTTAGATACTTTTGTTGAAAATTATCATATACTGATTTAGAGTATTCATTAAATTGGATATAATTTTTTGTACTAATGTTTCAAATACTTTAATGTTTCAAATACTTTAATGTTTCAAATACAGAATTGTTAAAATGTTGTCCAATTTTGTAGATGCCTCCCATCTTAAGTATTGAAAAATTTAACCCCCCTTTCCATACACAAAAAAATTCAAGGCCCCCTTAATCCCCCTTTTCAGGTTGCAAATGACCATTCCCTTACAGACGAAGGCTATTTTGTTTGTGAAGAAATAGTTGTCAATACGCTATTATGTAATTCTATCAGTATCGCTGCACATATCTGTTGAATATATTATACATGAAGAAGCACATTTTATGTGTAATACAACCAATTTCAATCGATTTTGTCATCCGTCATGATATCGATATCAGACATTGTAGCACATGATGTATTACAACTGTTTTAAGTTTATAATAAAGTGTATTTTTTCAATATCATACACCGTATCAAACCTCACTGTAAGTATGAAATCATGTCGTCCTATTCTGTAATATCGATGGCTGCACTTAACTGTAAATTTCATATAGCAACATCATGAATATTTCAGGAAGACGTGAGTCCAATGTAAAAAACACATCTGTACAAAATTGGTTAACAAACGAGATATTTGTTTTGTTTTTCTCCCAACAATAGAGTAGCGAATCGATGTTCATACCGATAATACCGAAAACATAGATAAAAAAGGCAGTAGAAGTACGACATGTCTTTTCATGCATATTTGTTCTTTAAATTATAAATCAGCATGATTATCATCTCCAGATATAAATCATCCGTCACACTATTTCATAGTTTCAGGCAGGAGAAGTAAATGAAGACATGATTACATACGATTCAAAATGTATTGAGTGACTTCAGAATTTGAAACGTTATAATTTCCAACAAATTCATGATGGCGCGAATAGAACATATGGTGCGATAAATTTAGTGCTATTGATTATACTTACATATGACCTACGATAAGTTTTTGTGAATCAGCATCCACCAGCATGAACCGGTAATAAGACGCGTCAGATGAACTCAAAAGCGCTGAAACGAAATATGAATATCTGGTTGCGATATACAATATACAATAGCAAATATGATATATAAAGTAGTCACTGAAATCGGTATTTTAAATGAATTTATTAGTCTATTAATCCATTTCAAAATTGCCATATTGAACACGAAAACCTCAAAGTATAAATAATAATACTGTGTCTTCTGTTCACCTTTTTGAATAGTACTAAGCAAGAGGCAAAAAAAAAACAAAAAAAAAAACAATAAGAGCGATCCTGGATTCAACTTTGAGTCCATATTCATGCCAGCCTTACAGGAACGGCGCCAATTCAAGGAGTTAAAATTGTTAAATATTTCGATCTTTGAATTTTCTAAAACATTCGATATTGTACTACACACAACACAACTGTAAATATTGAAGAATTTAGATTTTAAGGATATCTAAACAACTTGCTAAACATTTTTTCTGATCAGTAAGAAAATAATAAAATTACAAGAAAAAAATCTGCCTAAGAAATAAGAAATACATTCTACCATTCAGCTAGGAAAGTTATCAAGACACTTCTTTATTTGAAACCTGTATTTTGTCCTCGAAATGTCTTTTGATTTGCTTGGTCTTTGGATTTACTGTCTTATTGACGTATACTCAACATAACATGTTATCCATATTCCCATCAATTAAGAACATTTTCTTTCCGTTAAAGTTTCTGCAAGGCAATAACTCACCAGGAATATTCTAAAAGTTAACTAATATTGTCTCCTGATTAATGATCGTATATATTTAATTTTTTGTTTCTAGAGGTTTAAGTTCCTTAACAACGTTAAGGGACATCCATGCATTTATATGCTCAGCAATGGAAAAAACAGAGATACCAAGGGGAAATAAACAACATACGACTAAAATAACCCATAAAACTGCCTACTCTAGCAGCATGTGAAGCAGATGATGATCCAAATACATAATTGTAAGGGCACATTTTATCAGAATCTTTCTGATCAAGCAAAAGACCGAAAAGCTTGATTTAACTACCCTCTAAAACAATGTTCCACATTCACAATTTAGTATTAGTATTTTGTCGTTTCTGTAAGAAAATAATGGCAAATGTACTTAAGAAAGGTCGTTTGAACGCTCTGCTTACAATTAAACGTGTTCTGAAATTGGAAAAAAAACGCCAAGGGAACAATAAGAAAATAATTCCAAATCAGATAAAATCAGACAACAATCTGGACGAAAAAAAAAAACAAAAAAAAAAAAACATTTGAAATGACAAACAAGTCCACAACACACTAGACATACATATACAACTCAAGAGAAAAATTAACTGCACCAAAACAACGGGATAAACTCAGATGATCAAGAAGGTCAGCAGTTCATGAAACTAGTGACAACTGCCTTGTTATTCCTGCAGAAAATGCGTTAACGAGTCATGTGATTGCACCGCATACCAATATAGAAGGAAAAAAGAGGAGAGCTATAAAAAGGAGAAATCAAAACCATCAATTTAAAAAAAGCAGACATCGCCATAGTTAAACATAAAAACTAAGAAGAGACAAAGAACGATTTACAATACACTACAAAACAGATTGACCGACATGATAGATAATAAATTGACCAGATGTTTTGGAAGAGTAAATAGTTTCTGTACCATTAGTGGCATCCTTTGTGTTATTAACTGCATGAAAGAATCCGATATTATCAGTAAAAAAGACTGGGTTTTAGCAGCAAGAAGTGGAACAATTCAGCGGTAATCTGTGGCATTGAAAGCTTTTTTGTTCGCAGAAACCCTCTATCAAAGAAACCATGAAATCAAATGCAAGCCATGGTATATCGCATTAACTTGGAGATATAAACTCTATTTGCAAACGATGTTGGAATGTTTCTTCGCAGAAATGAAAATTTCAACCCGGGAGAATTGAAATCATCTCCTTTGTAGTAATTATAAAAATAAGAAGATGTGGTATGACTGCCAATGAGAAAACTCTCCACCAGAGACCAAATGACACAGTAGTAAACAACTATAGTTTACCGTACGGTCTTCATCAATGAGCAAAACCCATACCGCATAGTCAGCTATAAAAGGTCACAAAATGATAAATATAAAGCCATTCAAACCAACGTCCTGATTTATGTACAAAATAATAAACAAAAAACAAATATGATATACAGCAACAAACGACAAACACTGAATTACAGGCTCCTGACTTGGGACAGGCACATACTGAATGTGGCGGAGTTAAACATGTTTTCTGGCGCGCGAAACCCTCCCCTTAACCTGGGATAGTGGTGTAACAGTACAGCATGAGAAGAAACTATGAAAATCTGTTGAAAAGGCTAAATTCATCAGATCGATACAAAGCAGAAAAACAACAAACCAAACGAAAACACATACCAGATGTGGCAGGGTATTTACACATCCCAACAAAAACAAAAAAGACACTAAGTATAGATCTGAGAGTACTCACAGAACTGACAACTAGTTCAAAGCCAATAACAACTAATAAAAAATCATGTATCTAAGACTAGAATATGTTTAGTTTCAACTATCCCGTTTTTAACTTCTAGATTAAAGTCAAAATATGCAGCAGCTGACAACTACTAAATGTGTCTGTGGAAGTTCATTGGGAAGGAACTCTACAAACCAGTAAAAGTCTGGTAAAAGTATGAAATGAGCAGTATTTGTACACGACTGTACTGTTTTTACTCGACCATTCTGAATTGGTTTGAATTTTATTCGATATTACTCGACTCTTGTCTTAATCATACTAAACAGTCTGAACTCGAGCAGTTCGTATCCATTTATACAGTCTGAATACATGTTTGACACAAGTTTGAACCTTATTCGATCAAGTCTGAACCATCTAGCTGTCGACTAGCTGTCGAGTTCAGAACTTAAAATCCATTGGTCAAGTGTTAACACTGAAAACAGGTCGATAACTGGTTAAGTACAGGTCACGAATGGGTTAGGACTGTTTCTGCCTGGTCGCGTACAAGTTCAGACTGTTTAGTATGGTTCAGACTACAGTCGAGAAATATACAGTAAAATTCAGACTGGTCGAGTAACGATCAGTACAGTCAAGTAACAATCAGCACAGTCGAGTATAAAAGTGCCAATTTCAAACTTTTACTGGTTTGTAGTAGATGTCATCAATAACGTTAACGGTATCAATGTTGCTGCATCCTTTGCCAAGTCTGTCATTTAATGTATCTTCAGTGATGCTGGAGGCCAAAATATTTGAAAATTTGCAAAATCGTATAGCCAAATCCGGGCAAGGGATCTGAACTATTTATGAGGTTTGTACGTTCTTTAAAAAATAGTTCTAAATATTCTAGTAAATTTGAATAAAACAATGTCTGTATTTTTATACAAGCATCGAAGTATCACTAGACTACTAGGCTAATGATACTCTCGTGGATCAAATATTCTCGGAAATACATAGCCTTCAATACTGTATGATTTTAAAGCAAGCTTAATTTGGTCTTTCCACTTTTCTGTAGAAAGACCTATTGTATTTGTTCTGATTATTATTATTATTTTCTTCCGCCAAATTTTGTTCTCGCGTAAAATTTTTGTTTCGCAATATGTCGCTAAGATATTTCTTATATAGTATCATACAGTTTTTGCGCTTGACCATGGAAAAGCCAACCGAAAGTGACCTTGTGTAAACCGGAAGTGGTTAATTTTTGTACTTATTTAATGTAAAAGTATATTGAACAATATATTTTTGGAATCAGTATCAAGTAAACTATCAAATAAAACCGGAAGTGACATATTTCAAACCAGAAGTAACAATTTATCTCCCTTATTTAGAAAAAAATGTATAGAAACCATATATTTTTTTAATCAGTGTACAATAAGCTATCATTTGACGCTGGATTTGATATTTCAAACTGAATTTTCATAGTTCTATATCAAAATTGATCTTTATGGGTGGAAAGACCTTCAATTGTTCTCTGGTTTTTAATTAACTTATTATTTTTTTTAAATGGGTTATGATCCAAGTCCCCAACATTTACATAAAAAAAATCATAAAAGAAAATACACATCACGGACCATAATTATTTATTATAAGCCGTTACAACTAATAACATATTTCTAACTTAACCAGTATCAGAAAATACGGCAAAATTTATTCAAAACAACTAAACATAAAGGATGCAACTAAATTGACAGTGCGGATTGGTTTAAAATTGATGTTTTCCATTCGTTTGATGTGTTTGAACTTTTTATTCTTTATCTGCTACATCAATCGTGGAAGACGTCCTCGCATTGGTAGCATTTAACTATCACATGCCTTATTCTATGTTTCTTAATATACTTTATTTTCACGAGTTTATCACAGACGACACAAAGGTGAACAAACCTGATTAATTTTCTAAATAATATTATGATACCAATCAGTAAATAATCTATATTTTATTATAAACTATCATTTGTTTTCTTTGTTTCATTTTACTTTCAATTTCTTTTTTGTTTTTTTTTTGTGTTTTTTTTCTGTGTTTTTTTGTTTTTTTAATATTAATTTTTTAATATTCATATGTATACTTTTTTGTAAAACAGTCAACCCTGTTCGTCACAGTTTCATATAATTACTCGCCAAAATGTAATACTAAAAATATATTAAGGAATGAGCGTATATACATCATATTTATGTTATATGGATTTAAGGCGCAATTACTATATAAGTAAGCCGCCTGTCAAAACCAATAACTACAACAACAACTTTTGAATTCTAATTTGACAAAAGACTTTCTATTTTGAATTTTCCTTGGAGTTAAGTATCTTTGTTATTTTATTTTTTAAAAAGCAGAGATGACTTCTATTTTCAAGACACTAACTTATTTAATGTATTAGTCATCATTCTAGCGACAAATGCCTATGTAACTCATCCAGTTTCTTCAATTTTTCATAGCTTCGTTTCTTATCAGAATGACGTAGGCTATGTAGATGAAATGGTTGGATCTAACAAAGCAGTTACTGAACCAATGGCTTTGAATTTAATGTTAAAGGTTTATTTTGAGACGTGTCTTTGACGTTTACTTTTCATGGCAAAAAGTCTGCTACGACAAGTGAACTATTTACTGCTTACTCATCGGTATCAATTCGTTTTAGTTTTTAATGAGGTTTCCTGTGTGGGTTTATTATATTATTCTCCCCTTTATTTTTTCATGGTTCTGTCATTCTTTGACTGATCATTTTGTTTACGCTCAGTGTATCTTCTTACTTGTTAAAACATAAGAGAGGGTAACATGACTGATATGTCTTACATAGGGAAGTTATAGATGATGAAGATTTATAAATAATTATGAAGAAAGCTGGATTGTCCCCATTACGATTGGACACCGCGATCACTTTGCCATCAGCCGTATAATCGGTCAAGGCTGCAACACGGTATCCTAAGCATAATCTAATGAAGAGCTTTATTGTACTAAAGAGTTAGATGCCGGACAACAACCAAGCTAAAGTTGCGCTTAGGATCGACAAATGAGCGGAGCTGTGTTTAAGCTTGTTCAATGTCTATTTATCTTAAACTTATGATTAATCATGTGTTTTTATTCGTTTTCTGAATTCAGTATTTTATTGAAGTATCTAGTTTTAAAACAGGACGAATGAGCTTCCATGTTTAAGAATATAGTGGAAGCAGAATTTCATGCCAGCTAACACAAACATAAAGAAGTAATAAACAAACCTCTTCAGAGGAGTATTCATCACCGACTTGTTACTTTTTTGTTACTAAAGAGCGACTGTATTGTTTAAGCGTGAGAAAAATCTTCTTAAAACTAGCAAGCCTCACCGGAATGTTATAGCAAAATAAAAAACGATATAATTTGTATGTCAAAAGCTTAATTATGCAGACCCTATCCAGTCATTAATTTTTCATCAAGTTTCGATTGATATTATTATCAATTAGATATTTCATCATTGAGACTGATTTGATAAAAATTGTCCCCATGCCCGACCAGTTAGCATGTTTGTCTTTGTTTTAGAATTAATGCGGTAATGCTTTATTTTTGCTTTTATATAAGTCCACTAGGAGGTCGTCATCCCTATGTGTGTCTGCATTTATTGTACAAGTATATATTACACGGCAACTTACCTGGTAATGAAAGATTGAAGCTTGTTATTGTAATTGTTCCTTTGATATTATCGACACATTCGTACAATCCTGCATCACTCAACTGAGCATTGAATATTCTGAAAATATTTCCAAATATATAAATTCGATTAATCAAATTTTGCGGCAGATTTTCATTTATTTGACCAGCTTCAGAATAGATTGTGTTACCATCGCAGGGCCCTCTCCACGAAACAGCATTATTTTCCTCACATGTTAGTGTAATTGTTGACCCTATTACATGAAAAACTGTGTGACATACACCAATATCTGAAATGATAAAAGAGATCTCTTTTGATGGGTTTTATCTTAATTAAAAGCTAACAATATCATTGTTAAAAATATACAAATAAATTGATAACACACAAAGTGTAACATTTTATTTGCATTCGAGAATCAGTAATAACTCTCTGAAGATTCATCAAAACTTTTTGTTTGAAATAGGTTGTAATGACACCACAAAATTTGTATTTGTCTGTGTTTTTGTCGTCCTTCGCTATTTCCCAGGGCGTTGAAGTTTCTTCGACTTAGTTTTTATTGTCCCCTTTGTATCTTCCGCCTCTGTTTAAAATCGTATATGTTGAGCAGATAACTATTGTCAATCTATTTCCGTAGTAGGTAAACAATACAATAAAATTGTAACATGAAGACGATGTATCGAAAATTTAACATAACCATTTAACTAGTCTATGTTTACAGCTTCTTAAGGTATAATAATAATGACAATCAGGGTAACTTTTACACGGCTGTCATTCGGTGTATCGGGAAAAGTAGCGGTGGTCAAGTATTGCGATTGGATCGTGAAAGATCTGGTGTAAGATAGTGAACAAAATCTTGTCGAGAAGAATCATGCAACGTTCGTATATAATCTAATTTAATCAATTAGCATGACAAATATTGGAAAAATAAAACTGTCTGTTAAAATGGTTTAACATTATGATCAGTAAACGAGAAAAATCAAGGCTTAAAAGTACAACGTTTTGACAAAACTACAAAAGACATATTGCTCATCGAAATTTTAGAGAAATACAATGTAAAATTCATTTAGCCAAAATTAAGTTGGACATGTGACAATGTTGTGTTGTTGATTGCCAGTTTAAGGCTTAAAGTCTATTAATGTATATTATGTCGTTCTTGAAATAACATCCTTATCACTACGTAACATACCTGAATTGATTTCTTGGTTAAATATACGAGGGAATAATAATGGAAGTTATCATCAAATTAATACAATAAATACTTACCAAAAAACGTTAAACTTGTAATAATTATATTCCACATTGGGCACACAAACAATACACAAATATATTCATAGTTATCTTGCTAAAGGCGTTTTCATCTTTAGTCATCTTAACTTTACCTGTGTATTAAGATCGATACAACAAAGTTAACGTGATTCAGTCTGTTAAATCGAGTTGCATTTTATTAATCAATACTACAATGATTAATTTATGGTAAATTAAAGCAACAGTATTGTACTGATATTCAAAATCATCAATTGAAGTAAAAAAGTAAGGGGAGGGAAAACACAATAAATACTATGGAAGCAATAAGTTAACACAAAACTAACGATTTAAAAAGTGTTGAATTTTCCTTTTGAGGTAGTCCGACATTAACATGATTAAACTGTGTATTATTGCTATACCTTAATTCAATATGTATACTTAAATCAGTATCCAAATGTAAGCAATCTATATAGTGACACTAATCCACATGCTTTCGGCTAATGTCGACTGAAGATATTTACCATATTTACCAACAATTGCAGAATATAACGAGACATATGTATTGGATATATGTTTGTTTATGCAAGTAAAAGTAACTGGCAGATGATTTATATTTTAAGCTATTAAATTTTTGTGGTTTTTTATTATGATTTTGGACAACCAATGCAATTTGCATTTCTCCGTTTAGCCAACATTGATTAATGCGTGTGTTTGTTTGAATTATTCTTTTCAGACACGATTTTTTACATACCTTTCTAAAATTTGCTATTGATGAATTTGAAAATATTTGACAAACTAAGATTTCAACTCCATCAGCCAAATTTGACCTTAGACGGATTTGGATATTCATTTAAGGTTCCGTTTTGTCATAAGCTTCTCACGTATGCAAGTAAGTATATGTACTTGACTTTAATATTATGTATTTGACCGTTTTCGATGAAGGTAAATCCAGGTAAAAGCGCTTCGGACACACAACTATATAGCGTGTTTTACATTTCAAGTGCAAGTGTACCAAAACGCATCTAACAGATGTTTGTAAGTTTATTTGTAAACAAAACGTATATGTACATTGGTTATGTGATATGATTGATTATATACATAAACTAATTGTTAACTTCATATTTGTATTTTATAAACAGTTATTCTCCATGTCCATATACGTTTAATATAGATAAAAGAGTTAATCGAAGCAGGTGATCAGTTTAAACACATTTCACAGTTGTGATCTCATACAATTTGTGAAGTATGATGCAAGTCTTGTTATGTCATTTTGTAAACATCTGAAATATGCAGATCTTGTACAAGAATATTAAAATAACCAAATGTGGTATGATAACCAATTACACAAACTTTCGTCTATATTCTAATTACATGGGTGTTAGCAGCTTTAGATTACCGTACTGCCTTCAACAGTGATCAAAACCCATACCGTAAAGTCAGCTATAAAAGTCACAAAAAAATACAAAATGAGAAATCATTTGTTTGACGTTCATACATGTACATGTATCACAAGGTTTTAATTATTTCTATTTTGTGATTGGATAGATTGAGTAGCGGAGTTCTATATTCTTTTGATATTTTTACAGTGAAAGCACTTGATCTTTTTATCTGGTGGATCTTTCCAATAAAACATACTTAAATTATAATTTATTAGTAAAAGTATTGATATTTATCATTCATAAAATATATATGTTGTTCAAATTGTATAAATCCTAAATAAATATCATGTTTCGCAGTCTTGATTTGTGTTAACAGTGTTTCAATATTGATCACACAATTTTAAGATATGGGTAGATTCATTTAGAGGTGAGTCGTGAAATATGGAAAGTAACTCTTATTGCGACAAAATCAAAATCAAAATTGTCTGTATGGTAAAAAAACACTGATTTATAGTTATTTCACAATTACAATTATACATTTTAAGTGATGTCTGTGAAATTTTATGAAACATGCAACTGCTTACTGGTGTTGTTTCATCCATTTTCAGGCAACTGCTGCAGCTTGTTGGAATGTTATGTTAGGCAAAGCCATACAAGCGAATCTAGCGCAATACATTTGTAAATTCAAATTTTCATTTTAAAGATGATAATCTTTGCTGCACGTTTATTAAAAGATAAGAAAAAAGTATCACATCATAATCTCAAGCCCTTGTCATACACCCATCTTTCAGAGACTTTGATATGATACAAGTTCACCTCCTCGAACAATTTACAACCACGTTTTTCTGTAAGCGGTGTTCCCGTTGTCACCTTTTCTCTAAAAATTCTTGTCTTGATATGAAAAAAGGATTAAAAGAATGTATGTTTAGAATAAAAACTACAATTAAATATTGTTAGGAAAATGTTGTTTTGTTAAAAAAAAAATCATTTTTTCTGAAACATATGGTTTTGTGCATCAAACATTTGTCAAATGCAAATGTTGGAATACGATCGTTTAGAAATTTCTTAGCTCCCTAAATCATGTCACAAGTATTAAATTTTGCCGTAAATCAAAAATAGTTGTTAATATCAATTGTTTTTAATTTCTTGATATCATGTACTCTACTCATTTTGTTTTTATGTTGTGTTAAAATGCATGTATTTATCGTTCCTATTACGTATCTTGAATTAACAGTAAACATTGCTGTCTCCAGTAGTCATTTTCGTCATCAGCTGACACACGGACTAATAAGACATTCCTAAAGAAAATCACATCTAAAATTCCTTACCGATTTTTGATGTGGTTGGTGTATATTTTGAAAGTTTTCCTATGTTCCTGGAAAAAAAAGCATTATTCGACTCTAACGTTTTAAAAGATAGGTTGAGGTGAGTTGAGGCGACGAAAGTTATACAATTGTGAGATGTTCATTTTTACCCGGCGTTTATATTAATAAAATGTTCATCGAACAATGCGACAAAACTCAAAAGTACATACTTGTAAAACTATATGTTGTTCAATTCTATATATATGTTTTTGTGCTTTGCTACAAATAACCAAAATAAAAAAAAAGACTTTAAAAAAGAATAAATAGAGCATGCTTTTTTGATATTTAAAGCCTTTGTGTAGATATAAATAGATACAGATTGAATAGTCATCTTGTATTTTTTATGCAAATAATTTATACATGTTATATAAATATCATTTCTAAACTTTTGAACATTATGTTCGAATGTCCAGACTAATGCCATATTTCAATTGGAAGAAAGGAAAAACAGGATGAAATGGTTGTGTCTGACACATCTTAAATATAATTTTTATGAAATGGTCGATTATTGTAATGAATATTTCAATTGCCTAACATTTCCGAAGAACTTGTATTGCAACACAATTATCCCGGTGGGAAATTTACGTCAGCATCAATCTCCATTCTTAATTTCGGAGCATCTGACGGGGTATAATTTAAATATTTGCATGCTGTATAATTATTTGATTCATATTGTTTCTCAGGAGTAGAAGATCTAACTTGAACTAGCTTGTGTCTAATCCGCTTGCTGTATTTTTAAAATAAACATGTTTAAACAAAATGACTTTGTCTATGACATTTTGTGGTTCCTATTGAAGGTAAATTTATAAAGTGTTATTTTCGTCAGGAATTTTGATGTGACTATTATTTAATAACTTTTTACCGATTATCAGAGCATCTTAGAAAATGAAAAACATAAATTTCCAAAGTATCTAACTTTACCGGAAAAAGAGAGTTGAATGATTAATACATTAGAGGCAACAGTATTTTACCGATCTTCAAATTTCGTTTCTATACATGCAGCATAAGTCATGCAAATCCAAATTCAGTCGAAATGTCGCGATTGAAAAAGGACACAATTGGTAAATTCACAGATCAGACGATTAATTTAGAACCTCAGATCTTACACCTTGGAACCTCGTCTTCGTGAGTTGAGAAACAAAAACATCTTGTCAGTCATCAATTTGTGATGATGTTCTTTAAATTTGTGAAGTAACGATTTCTGTTGAAATATATCGTATCCCGACTTGCAGAAAAAAGTCTCTGTGCTCAGTTGAAATAGAATGCAAACACATCCTTCTCAAAAGACAAAATTAAAAAGTGCATATCGAAGAATTCTTTAATTTCACTTTCTGATTTATTGATGATGTCCTGCCACTCAATAGCCATTATTTCAATAGTACTTATAATACAGTGAATTTCAGATTAAGAATGCTAATGGAATTAGAAATGTCTGTTTCACATCATGACCGTTTCCTCGATACTGACACAGATGGACGGCTCCAAACTATATATAGCTAGAATCTGTGATAAACAATATAACTTCAACGTTGCAATAACGACTACCTATTTCATAGTGATAGCATACCTATTCCAAATCGTATGGCGTTATATACATATCTCAATTCATCTTACCTCCTATACATTTGTAGGAATATGATTGGTTAAAAGCAACCGCGTGGAGACCGTGTATATTCCATATTGGGATAGTAGGCGGGGCTTATTTCAATACAGGGTTAGTAGTGGTGTTACGTCCCTTTATAAAAACAACACAGTGTTGAGGAAAAATCTTAAAGGTTTCAGCAGACGAAGTAATTGATGATGAAAGATTGAAATAAATTCATAAAACACATTTAAAGCTAACAAATTGTTATTGTTGGCATTTGTTTTTGAATAGACCAATGGAAGTAGGTTCTTAATAATAACACCACATGTTAAGATAATCGGTAAGATAAATTCATTACATAGTGTGCTAGTGACCTTCGCTCTCACCCCATATGGAATTTACTGACTCCATATATATCGTATTAGGTCACTAGCACACTATGCATCTTTACATCTGCACATTATACGGACTTCTTTTAAAGAGGTGTGCTCCTGATAAAACAACTGTCCACAGTTATTAGGAAATACGACTGAAATCTATACTACCAACATTTTACGGTCTAGGTGGTTCAATGATTTGCAATGAAACATCGAACCACCTATTTTGTTCGTTTACATACAAAACAACAGTGCAACTCTATTTGTTATTTATTCGTAAGTTTCGTTAGACTTCAGTATAGCAAATAATGCTCTGTCAACTTGAGACTGAATCATAGAATTTAAGATATGGTCCCTATGGCCATGTAAATACGGGGAAACAAAATATTGTTCAATACAGAGATTTTATGAAAAAAGAACCACTGTTACACCACTG